AAGGTGAGCTGCTTCCCTCTCATTCTCTCTCCAAGTTACCACTCCAGTTTTCGCTTCAGTTTACTTCCATCCTTGCTGCATCGCCTGTTGCCTCTGGTCATGCCGCATCTTCAAGCCACAGACTCCCTTTTTTTTGGGTAAGTCACCCCAGGTACACAAGGTATGCTCTCAGGTTAAGCCTTCCTAGGTATGTATGTTCCCCCCTTGGGTCTGTGGCTTGTAGCTGAGGCAACTCCAGTGGCCCCCTTTCTGCTCTCGCCTGCCATCCCACCCCCCTCATGCACTCTTCTCCCATTGCTACCCCTAGCATCTTACTCACTTGTCTTCGTTTCTCTCCTTGCTGGTTGAGGGGAGGGGCGTGGGGATCAAGACCGACACTCCTCCGCGCCGCTCCCCTGGTGGCCGTGCAGGTGCCAGTGGTGGGCTGGAGGCAAGGCGGGAGGAATGCTGCCATGAGGGAGAGTATCGGGGTGGGCTTGGCCTCTCAAGGTGAGCCCCTTTGAGCCACCCCCTCTTACTGCTGCAGCTGATGTCTCTTTTCTGTCTTCCATTACCGTGCATGCTTTCCCTCCCCACTCCTCTGCTTCTCCTTCGCACCAACGTCCTCTCCCCCCCCTCCTTCCCTCTCTGGCCTGATCCTCCCCCTCTCGTCCCAGCAGGTCGCTCACACGGGAGTGGCAGTGGCGGGGGACATGGAATGCACAGGAAGCAGCTGCTCTCTACCCGACCTTTCCACAGCTAAGTCTCTGCCCTGCAATTCGTCTCACAACCCTCTATTCTCTTCCTTTGCTTTCCGTGTTCATCCTTGCTGCAGCTCCTGTTATTTGCCTCCTCAAACCCAACCCTCTGGTTGAACCAAACCTTCAAGCCACAGCCCCCTTTTTTTGGGTAAATCTCCTCAGGTATAGCAGGTATACTCTCAGGTCAAGCCTCCCTAAGTATAACCCCCCCTGGGGTCTGTGGCTTGTAGCTGAGGCTGCACCAGTGGCTTCATTTCCCTCTGCTTCTTCTGATTCTGCATCCACCTTCCTCCTTTACCCCTCGCCTCTCCACCAGTCACTAATTTCTTTTCTGTGTGCCTTGCAGGTGGAGGGGAGGGGCGGGGGTCAACACCGACGCTTCCCCACGCCCCTCCCTGTGGCCGTGCAGGCACCCGTGAGGATGGGAAGGAGGCAGCACTGCCATTTTCTGCCACATGGGAGAGTATGGGTGTGGGCTTGGCCTCTCAAGGTACGTCACCTCCCCAGCTCTCTCCTTATGTACGCTACCTCCCTTCTTGCCCTCATTTCTCTCGTGTTCTTGCTCTTCAATTGTGCCTTTCTGCTCTTTAGTTCTGCTCTTCGATTCGATGTCTTATGCTTTTTTCCTGGTCATGCCAACTCACTTGCTTTTTCGTCCCCTCTTTCTGCTGCCCCCACCAGGTCACTTGGCATGGAGTGAAGGTTGTAGCAGAGAAGCTGAGTAGCAGACCGGCAGCAGCAGTTGCAGCAGCAGAAGCGGCCTCAGCAGCAGCAGCTGTGGGGGTGGGGGGCTAGAGGGCAGGCTAGGCTAGGTCGAGTCGTGAGCGAGGTGTGGTATGGTATCAGGTGAGGTATGGTGTCAGGTGAGGTATGGTAACAGGTGTGTTCTCTGATCCCCTCCTCTCTCTTCCCCCTCCCCCCCCCACCCCTTGTTGCAGCCCGACGCAAGGGCGATGGAGGCGAGGCGGGGTGGGAACTCTACCATCTCACTCACCTCCCCCCCCCCCCCCCCCTCTCCCTTCTCCCTTCCCTCCCAGCAGCACGCTGATTGGAGCACACTGGAGTTCGGCCCTCCCCTAACCCCCCCCCTCCCACTTCCCAGCAGCCTGAGGCATCATGGCGCTCTGCATGGCTCTGGTAGGTACAGGTAAGTGAAGCATGGGGGTGCAGAGTGGCGTGGGTGGGTGGGGAGCATGGGAGTGAGTGGGGAGTTCACTGCCTTAGGGGCAGCATCCTCGGGAGTTGTGGCTTGTGGTTTGGGTGTGTGGTGGGTGGAATATTCGCGGCACGGCACTCGGTGCTCGAGTAACCGATCCGGCGTTTAAGGCTTAATGGACACCGTCAGAGTCGACCGGCCGGCGACTCTGGTTCGCGTCAGCTCTAGCTACGTCAGGGGTGGGATTTGAGTCTTGGGCTGGAAGCGATTTTTCACTGCCACACGTTGACCCACAAGTCACAGCCCCTGGGGGTGCTGTTCTCGAAGGGAGTGGGCTGTCTGCTGCTCCTATTGCTACCAGGTGAGGATGGGTGGGGCTGGGTGGGTCTGGTCTGGTGGTGATGGTGGTGAGAGGCAGTGGGGTTGGTGGAAGAACATGTATGCATGGTGGTCATACTTGGTTGGTGGCACATGATGAGATGAGCCGTATTGCACTGATGCCACCTGTTGCATGGAAGCATGATGCTCATGCTTGGTTGGTGGCACATGATGAGCCGTATGGCACTGATGCCACCTCTTGCATGAGAGCATGATGCTCATACTTGGTTGGTGGCACATGATGAGATGAGCCGTATTGCACTGATGCCACCTGTTGCATGGAAGCATGATGCCCATGTTTGGTTGGTGGCACATGATGAGCCGTATGGCACTGATGCCACCTGTTGCATGAGAGCATGATGCTCATGCTTGGTTGGTGGCACATGATGAGATGAGCCGTATGGCACTGATGCTACTTTTTGGAGTGGTTGATGTAGTGGATTAGAGAAAGGCAGGGTCTGAAACTTCTAGAGTAAGGTGGGTGAGTGGAATAAGGAAGAATGGGCTTTTAAACTTCCAGTGGAAGGTGGGTGGGTGGGCCAAGGAAAGACGAGGCCTGAAACCTTCAGAGAAAGCTGGGTGGGTGGGATACGGAGAGTGGGAGACTGAAACCTTCAGAGGAAGGAGGGTGAGTGGGATACGGAGAGTGGGAGACTGAAACCTTAGAGGAAGGAGGGTGAGTGGGATACGGAGAGTGGGAGACTGAAACCTTTAGAGGAAGGAGGATGAGTGGGATACGGAGAGAGGTGTACTGAAACCCACAGAAGGTGGGGGAGTGGGATAAGGAGAGAGGTGCTGAAGCCTTAAAACGAGAATGAGTGGGATATGGGGAGAGGATTGCTGAAACCTTGAGATGAAGACTGGTGGTGAGTGGGATAGGAAGAAAGGGGCATCAAAACCTCGGACAAAGGTTGGTTTGTAAGGGGTGTGCATGAGATGAGAGGGGGTCGAGTACCAGTGGGGTGTTAGCATTCCTTCTGGCTGCAGGGCAGTTCATCCCATTCTGGTGGCAAGGGTTTGAGCTGGGAGAATGGTGGCTGAAAGTGAAGCTTCTGCAATTTAGATAAATCTAATAGGTACAGCAAACTATGGGAGCCACTCTTCATCGGTGATTGTTACAGAGGACTTTATGCTTCAAACCTGTGGTACCAGTATTGTGGTATGGAGTGATGGTGCATACTGCTACTAAGTCTTTTTAGACATCTTAACAGATAGTGTTGGAGAAATTCTTCATAGTCTGGTGTTCTCTCGTCTGTCAAAAGAGGAAATATATCTGTATGTTTGTTATTGTTGCGATTTTGGAGGAATATACGCTTTCAATATATTTCTGAGTGCATTTTTCCCATGTACTTCCCTTGGAAAAGGAAAACCGCCACGTCGCAACGAGGCATGCGTCGCACGCGGGTTCCTTCGGGCGCTCCGATGGTGGTTCTGGAATCTGGATCCATCTTCTGGGGTGGGGAAGCCCATGAGCCAATCAATCAGCGGAGTCGCCCAAGCAATCGCACACGTCGCCCGTCGAAGAAGCCAGTTGCCACCGTCACCTCCACCGACCTGTGTCCTTGGGAACACCAGTCAGTACCGCACTGGAACGTGGAAAAACGCGCTATTGCGTTCAGCTGGTTTCAGTACACACTGTAGCCAGATCCCTTGCATTGTCCATTCCTTGCACCTCTGCGTGTGATGCTGGATTCCGCGTGTGTGTTGGTGTGAATGTATGGGCTAGGTCGAGATTACAGGAACCGAAACTGTCAGCAAGTGAAGCCATAACAAAGACGAGACCGAAGCTTGAGTAACGACGCTAAAAGACCGTTGACGACTGATCCGAAAGCGACCAGTTTCGTGAACATCAGTTCCGTGTCAACGCCCGACCGCATTCCTTCGTTTCCTTTCGTTAGACTCTTGACTGGATACTTTTCAAACCCGCGAATCTTGTTCTCCTTACCTCGGTCGTTGTCGGTGCCGGCCTGATGACACTTAGTCGCCTCGGACTCGCTTATAAGTGGCGACGCTTTTCGCGGCACTAAACTGGGCTCTTTCAGCGACTTGCAGCAGCCGTTGATGGTCAGATAGACTCTAGTAGGACTTGGCTCCGGTGTTCGAACATTCCTTGGCACTCTCTGTTTCAGGAGGAGGAGAGGCAGCAGAAGCAGTCGCAGTATCAGCAACGGTTCCGAACAGCTTCAGTAGCGGAATCTGCAGTTTACTGGGGCCATGGTCCGATCAACAGAATAGTAGGCTCTCTTTCCCTGTCAAACTCGACTTGAACATGCGTTTGCGTTTCGTAAGGACCTATCACGATGTTTGTCCGAGCCATTGTCCTCGTCCTGTCAACTTCTACTTCTGTCTATGCTTTTTTCTCATTTTTGTTTCCCCTTGCGTCTCTGTGCGTGTTCTGTTGCCTTTGGGTGGTTATGCGCGTGTGTTTGATCGTGTCTGGTGGTGTTTCCTTCTGATCGTTTCCGTCCGTGTGCATGCCTATTTGGGATTCCGAATTTACTTCTTTTGGGCTTCCCACATGACCACGTGTCTTTACCGCCTGCCATGTCGCCCTCCTCGCGTTGATACGGTCGCATGGCTTGTACGTCGCACCATACATCGCACGGCGACTCTTTCGTCAACGCAGTCGCATCACAATGCCTGTTTCGCTAGAAGAGGTGAGACCGGGCGAGCGGAGGGGAGACAGCGCGAGGGGGAAACGAGTCGAGCGATAAGAAAGCGAAAGCATGAGAACAAATCTTATTACCGGTACCGTGGCACAGTTGACTCCGGCTTGGGGGAAGGACAGCGTTAGCGGGACTGGTTCTTTTGCTGTCGCACGGAGCAGGCATGCGTGTATTCCGCGCATGCTTATGCGAAATCCCAATTCGTCCACCCGTCCCGTCCTGACCCTTCCTCTCGCAACTCCCTTTCCGCGCTCCCATCCCCCCACACCCCCATGCACCCCCCCGCACCTCGCAGTACCGCATAGGGCAGGCGTACATGCGGTCGCGCATGCAGATGGAGAACCCACCCCTTTCCGCGCTCCTTCCCCCCCACACCCCCATGCACCCACCCACACCCCCATGCACCCCCCCCGCACCTGGCAGTACCGCATAGGGCAGGCGTACATGCGGTCGCGCATGCAGATGGAGAACACGCGCGGCAGCGAGGGCGTGGAGGTGGTGGCGTCGCAGCCGTTCAGCGACGAGCGCATGGGCGCGGGCCACATGGCGCACGTCAAATACCACTTCCACAGCAAGGCCCCCGCGTGGCTGCGCGCGCTCGCCCCGCACGGCGCGCTGTGCCTGGAGGAGCAGAACTGGAACGCGTACCCGCGCAGCAAAACAGGTGCGGAGCAGACGCAGAACAGGTAGCTCCCGCGCAGCAAAACAGGTGTGGAAGAGAACAATTTGGGTGGATTTGATTTCAACACTCGTGCAGCAAAGCAGGAAACGAGAGAGAAAGAGCTTTCTATAACACTTGCTTCATACAGTATCATCCACTCCCTTTCCATCCTTTCTCACTTTCTCCCCCCCTCCCTCCCTTCACGCATTCGGCCATCTGTGATGCAACGGCGTGACTCGACGCTGTTCCCACCGCCGAACATCAGTGCTCAAGGTATGTCTTTTCCATCCACACCATTCTTCCTCAAACGTGTCTTCTAGTCCTGGGTCTCTTGCGCTGCTGCTGTTCTGCAACACCCATTCCGTGGCTGCACTATATCCACATGCTTTCTATTCCCTCAGCCGCACCCTTTCTTGCACAATTTCCACAATTTCCTCTCCCTAGCTCCTCCCTTTCTCCCTCTCTCCCTTCCTTCTTTTCTCATGCCACATTCCATGCCACATCGCATATGTACCCCCATGCCACAACTCCTGCCACATGCACGCCCATGCCACACCTCCCTGCAAACCCCTGTCACCCCGTGCCCCGCAGTGCCCGTACCTGACCAAGTTCTCCATCATGCTGCCCCTGTCCCAATGCCACACCCCGTCTGCTCCCTCTCATCCTCCCAGTGCCCGTACCTGACCAAGTTCTCCATCACCATCGAGTCCATACACCTCGCTGACAGAGGCGACTCTGAAAACGTGAGTCCCATGGAGGGGGGGGAGAGGGATGGTGGGGAGGCGTGGTGGGGAAGCATGGCGGGGATGCATAGGGGGAGAGCATGGTGGGGACGCGTGGGGGAATGGCATGGTGGGGAGGTATGGGGTTCCTGGCAAACTGCGAAGCAGGCAAGTTGTTTCAGACAGCGTGACGCTCTCATTCCTCCATTTGTCTCTTTCTCTCCTCGAATATTTTTTTCTTTCCCCACTTCTCTTGTTCCCATCTCCCTTTCTTTTATTTCTCCACCCCTTCCCATCTGAACCCTTTCCACCTTTCCCCCATCCCCCTTCCCTCTTACAGGTGCCACTCTCACTCTCTTCCTCTCCCCCTTCATTCCCCTTCGTCCCCCCTCTCTTCCCCTGCAGGCGTTGGGTCTAAGTGAGGAGCAGGTGAGGCAGCGCAAGGTGGAGCGGCTGGACATAGCAAGCCATGAGCGGGACATGTGGACGCGCCTCATTGCCAAGTCCGGCATCGACCCCTCCAAGCTCGCCCTCCCCAAAGCCAAGCGCGGCCCCCTCGCTCCAGGCTGGCAGGTCGGTGCGGTGCCCCCCGCCTCTTGCTCCTTGCTCCCCTCAGTGCATGTGTGCTAAGGGATTTCTCTTGGCAAGCCATCTTCTGCACCTTTGCTTGCCCCATGATGCATCCATTCAGCATCCTGCACTAATCCGCATACCCCTCCTCCCCCATCCTCTCCCCCATCCCTTCCCCTCTCCTCTTTCTTGGATCCCTCGCCCCCCTGCCCGCACCCACTCCCTCTCCCTTGGTGTGTGACACATTGGCAATGGTGGGGAGCAGGCAACGTGTGAGCCAGTGATGACAGCATACAAGATGGTCACGGTGGACGCGCCCTACTGGGGCTTTGGCAAGAGGCTAGAGCTCTTTGTACTCGCTGTAAGCTCTTTTCCAAAACCCACGCCCGGTTGCACCTAACTCAACCGAAAACCTCATGATGCCCTTATCATTCTCTCTTTGCAGTGTTGATGTGTTCAATGCCGTATGGCCATGGCTGACCTCATGCATCTATTTTTTTTTTTGTTCTCTTCTTCCTCTCTTTTCTTCACTCTCCTCAACTCTCCTCTCCTCTCCTGTAACCTCTCTCCTCTCTGATCCGCTCCTATCCCCCCGTCGCTACTCCGCGGGCAGGGAGAGAGGGCGTTGTTTTTGGAGGGGCATCGGAAGATGTATGGGTGGATGGACGAGTGGTGTGACCTCACAATGGATGATGTGCGCCGCATCGAGAAAGAGAACATTGAGGCCATGCGCAAGGTGGGTGCACTTCCTCCCGTTGACTTTTGAGTTGACTCAAAAGTCAATTTCTCCTGTTGAGAGGTTTGAACAGTTTTTTAAGGGTGCAGTGTCGTGTGCTGCCATCACATTGAGGCCATGCAATAGGCGCAGAGGTGCTTACGTGTTACTCTTTCCTCAACAAATGGCCGATTCTTCTCGATGTTGTTCCTCGTTGCCTCAGAACCTTGCTCTCAACAACAAGGTGGCGCCAGATGAGTATGATGAGGATGAAAGAAAAGCTGACGTGGACTGCAGTCATGATGACACAGACAGCAGTGAAGCTGACCTGCCAGACAGCCCCCAGGGTAAAGGTAATGCTGCCAAGGGGTAGCAGCCGAGATGCTGCTGCTTGTGACAAGTGTCGGTTTCAGCAATAGTCCCTTCTGTAATTATAATGCCAGTTTATTGCCTTTTGTGTTCTGATTCCAAAGAATATCATTTGTTTCCCAGCACATTCTGCAGTGCAATAGTGGCAAGGAACAAGGGAGCGTAATTACAGCTCTATGTTTGCCCTTTTTCCATCGTTCCCACCACTGGACTGGTCAATAATAACTGGCTAAGGACCGCCACAGAAGAGGGAGCACTGTGAACATGGCCTCCCATCCCATGGCAAGCAAACATGTCAGTCAGGCAATGTTTTCCCCATCCAGTATCAGCCCATGTGGTCCCATCCCATCCCCTGTCAGCCCATGTAGTTCCATCCCCTGTCAGCCCATGTAGTTCCATCCCCTGTCAGCCCATGTAGTTCCATCCCCTGTCAGCCCATGTAGTTCCATCCCCTGTCAGCCCATGTAGTTCCATCCCCTGTCAGCCCATGTAGTTCCATCCCCTGTCAGCCCATGTAGTTCCATCCCCTGTCAGCCCATGTAGTTCCATCCCCTGTCAGCCCATGTAGTTCCATCCCCTGTCAGCCCATGTAGTTCCATCCCCTGTCAGCCCATGTAGTTCCATCCCCTGTCAGCCCATGTAGTTCCATCCCCTGTCAGCCCATGTAGTTCCATCCCCTGTCAGCCCATGTAGTTCCATCCCCTGTCAGCCCATGTAGTTCCATCCCCTGTCAGCCCATGTAGTTCCATCCCCTGTCAGCCCATGTAGTTCCATCCCCTGTCAGCCCATGTAGTTCCATCCCCTGTCAGCCCATGTAGTTCCATCCCCTGTCAGCCCATGTGGTCCATGTCTGCTGCACCATCATCAGGCTTGTCTATGCACACTGGCTCCCACTCATCGTCTGCATTGCACATGCACATGCACAGAGGACAGCAAGTTAATGATGGTGACAGGCATGGTGACAGGCTTTGTGAGGGAAGGCGGATAATGGGAGAGAAACTAACGAGGCTCGGCTTTTGCGGAGCCAGACAATCCCCACAAAACATATTGATTGGGGCGCAACATGTGTGAGGGGCACGAAGGCAAGGGGAGAGGCGGACCTGAGAGGCGGTATGTGAGTGCCACCACTGCATCGTTCTCCACCTGCCATGCATGCATGTGTGAAGGACACGGGAAATCATAATGGGAGACACACGGTGAAGCACATGGTGCCGCACACGGCAGGGGGAAGAATATGGGGAGGCATACGGGTAGGCACATGGGGAGGCACAGAGGGAAGCTTGGCAGATCGTACTTACCCGCTGCTCTGCCAGCGTTCTGTTGTCGTCCAGAACGGCGTTGCTGTGCAGCAGCACGAGCCGAATGTCGCCCGCCGGCTGCCCGCACAGCACCTCGAGGTTCTGCTTCACCTGCAGCACCTTGTGCGACGGCTCGCAGTACAGGAAGTACGTCGTCGCCCTCCGCTTCGCCCGCACGTACATCGACTGGCGGGGGGGCAGGGGGGGGGAGGAGAGAGAGGGGAAGGGACAACGGGGGAACAACAAGGGAACGGCCTGGATGGGTGGGGACGTTGGGAGGATACGGAAAAGGAAGATGTGGGCTCGGAGATTTGTTGCATGAATCCGCGGACGCGTGACGACGTAGAGCGATGCTCCAGTAAGAAGGTATGAGGTAACACGTGCCGCCGTTGACTGGCGTACCATGGAGGCCGGGAAGCGGGCGGCGAGGTGAACCGCGGGATACGACGGAGCGACCAACGGCTGCGCTTGCTGACGCGACAGGCGCTACTGCTATCCGCTGCTACCGCACTCAGGTGCTCCTAGGGTCTCGTTTCCTAATAGACGCCGTCTGAAATTCTTCTCCGTCGCGTTGAGTGCGGCGTCGAATGGCAGCCAATGGTTATCGATGAGCGCCGCGTTAGCGATGTGCTACGCGTCGGTTGGACGCAAAAGAGGGCTCAGGCGCGTGGAATTCGGACGATGGTTATTTCGGCGAGCGTAGTGGTATCTGGAACGAAAGCAGTAGAATTGACAGAAGCTGTCGAACGCTGGAGACTTCAGGAAGAATGGCGACGGGTCATACTCGCTACCATGCACCTCGTGCTGACAACGAGTATACAGCGCAACTTTAGTAGCCATTTACCGTAAACAGAAATATACGAATGACAAGCAAATTTGCCGAATATGCTGGAAGGCTTCAATATTTTCCTTGTTCGGCATATTCCCCTCGCGTGTACTGTATTTCATCGCCTGCTCTCTCCAATTCGTTCCTGCCGCCATCCAGCCTCGGTTCCGCCCAGCCAATCCCTGCTCGTCAGCGTGGCTCGTTGCTTTTCGCCTTCCCCTGCCCCGTCAGCATGATCACCAGCCAGTGCGCTGCTGCCTTGGCACAACTATCCACACGGGAGTTTGTGCTCCTGCTCGGTTGATCCTCTAACCTTGGGAGTTGTTTTTTAGCCACTTATTTTTCAGAGCGATTGCTGCTAGAGAGCCGCCATGCTCAGGAACTTGGCAGATCATTAGCCAGTTCGTGTGCAGCGTACCGTGCTTTTTCCCCTCGATCCACCGTCGTATGCGACGCGGTCTCCTAGGAACGTTACTACGCGGTCGCGATGCATCCCGTTAGTCTCGCGGGTTCTGTCAGTACGTCAGAAACAGCGCGATCGTTCCTCGCGACGCCACGACCCTCGCAAGGCCCTCGCCGCCGCAATGCCTCCAATTCCTCTTCGCAAAGTCACATTACGTCGCACAGCGCCGTCGATCGTCGCTTAAACTCGCAGAGCGCTCGTACCGCATTCCCATCTGCAGCAACACTCACATCAGCACCAGTACCGAACTCTCGATCCACTCGTCCACGTCAGCACGTCGCCGTGCGTGCAGCTGCTGACGGCGATGGCGGAGTCGATTATTCAGCCTCTGCCGAGGCGGTCGACGTGGCGGCGGAACCAGCCAGCTCGACTTCCCAAGGTAGGTACCTAGTTTCCGTCCCTCTCGACGTTAACGTTGACCTCTTCGGGTTAAACTCCATACATTTCGCACAATCTGTCTTACTTCGCGGAAATTAGGGGCTTGTACGATCGTGTGCATCGCTGCGTCGTGTTGAACTTCTCCCGTCAATCCAGGAACACCCGTCGCTGAGCCCAAGGCGCGCACCAAAACATCCACTAGCAGTAGCAGCAGCGGCGGAGGAAGCAGCGGCAGCGGGGGGTCATCGGCGCTGGATAAGCTCCGCGAGCTGCTGCGCGCGGCGGAGGCGGAGCTGGAAAAGGCGCGGGCGCGGACCGTAGAGACAGAGGAGGAGGCGCGCAGAGTGGCGGAACGCGCCATAGAGATCTCCGACGCCGCAGCTAAGGCGGAAGTCGCCGCGGATGCCGCGATGGCGCAGGTGGAGGCGGAGCTGGCGGAGGAGGCGTCGGCGCAGGATGCGCTGCGGCAGGCCGAGGCGGCATTTAACGAGCAGGCGGAGGTGCTGGTCGCAGCGGAGGCGCAACAACAGGCGGTGGAAGCGGGGATGGCGGGGATGGCGGAGCAAGGGGTTCCGGAGGGGGGAAGCTTGCGCTCAGGCGTGGTTAACTTGGTGCAGGAGGTGCGGGAGGAGCTTGCGCGGCGGGAGGCGGAGTTGAGGGCGCGGGCGGAGGCAGCCGCGCAAGCGACTGGAAGGCGCGTGAGGGCGCAGGAGGAGGCGTCCGCGCTGGTGGCAGCGGCGGGGGAGGCAAGGGCGCGCGCGGGGCAGGCGGAGGAGGAGGTGGGGGAGCGCATGGGCGTGGCGGAGAGGGCGGTGGCGTTCGAGCTGGAGGCGAGCCAGAGCGTGGCGGAGGCCGCCAAGGCGCTGGCGAGGGCGGAGAAACTGGTTACTGATATCGCCAAGGTGTGTGTGGGGCAATGGGACGCCGTCTAGTGCTAAGAGGAGGGGAGATTTATCTTGTGATTGCTGTTGGCTGAAGGTTAAATGCGGTTACTCTCCCGCATTGTGCCAGCATCCCAAGGCTGTCGCCTTTTTTAGCCCAGCTTTCTTCCCTCCTCTGCTGCCACCTCTCTGTGAACACTGCTTCTGCTTCCCTGTCTGTTCGTCCTCCCACACCCGCCCCTCCATCCCAGGCGGAGGCGGAGGCGGCCAAGCTAGCGGCGGAGAAGGCGGCGCTGCTGGCGAGCGAGGTGGCGGGGGTGTCAGCCGCGGTGCGCGCCACTGTGAAGGGCGGACGCGCCGCTGCTGGCATGCCCACCACCGACTCTGACAGCGAATCTGATAAGGACTCAGATAAGGAGGCTGGTAGGGACTCTGAGAAGGTCTTGGTTGGTGGCGCGAGTAGTGAGTTGGATAGGACGCCTGATTGGGAAGGCGAGAGCGTGAAGGAAAAGGAGGCGAGGGGGGATGTAAGAGGGGTTGTTGCAGAGGCGGTGGGGAAGGCAGAGGATAAGGGGAAGAAGGGGGTGAAGGCTGGAGCGGAGGAAGCAGCAGGGAAGGAGCGGGGGGATGGGCGAAGTGCGGCGGTCGATGAGGGAGGGAAGGACGTGCGGAAGGATGGGGTGAAGAATGGTTTGAAAGAGAAGGAGACGAAGGGAAGAGGGGAGGTTGATCTGGCATCTAGCGCCCCTGCAGACACTGCTGCTGGAGATGTGATGAAGGGTGATACGGAGAAGGTGGGAGCTGGGGAGGAGGAACTTACTGCTGTTGCCGCGTCAGCAGCAGCAGTTCCGGGGACAGATGAAGCTGCTGCCACTCCTCCTGCTGCCCCCTCCTCCACCCCCTCTTCCAAGTCACCCTCCTCCTCCTCCTCCACTTCCTCCACCTCATCCACCAAGAAGTCATCGCAGTTCTTCTCAGCGTCATTCTTCTCAGCGGACGGCCATGAGGTGCAGGATGCACTCAAGTGGGTGCGATCGGCCATGCCACCGCTGCTGCAACACCTGCCGAAAGTGCTGTTCGCGCTCACCGTGCTGCTACTCGGGTCAGTCCCGCCTGCTGCTGCTGCCATGCTTGCTTGTTGTGCCGCTCCCATGCATTCCTCTGCTGCTTCTGGACCAAGACTGCCCCCCTGTGCGTGTGCCAGGCTGCATGTGTGCTGCAGACAGCCACAATGCAAACTCGGACTCCTCTTCCCTCATGCTGAATCACGCCTAGCTTGCCTTCCACCTCCTCTCCCTTTCCCTCTACCGCTGCTCGCTCTGCTCCTCTCTCTCCCCCATCCCAGTGGCGTTGCGCTCAAGGCGCGCATGGCGCACAAGGCAGGGGGGCACGCGCCCCCCGCCACAGTCGTACAGATGGACGTCGTGCAGGGAAGGGGACTGGCCGGGGCTGCAGGGGACGCTGCCACGTTCCAAGTAGCTGAGTCTGCAGTGGGGGCGGTGGGGCAGCAGCAGCAGCAGCAGGTGCAGGAGCCGGTGGGTGGGGGTAACCCGGTGGTGTCGGCAGTGCAGGCGGTGGTGGGGCGAGCCAAGGCGCTCATTGACAAACTGCCCCGACACGAGGTGAGTAACATGAAGGTGCTGAGAGGACACTGTTCCCCTCCTCCCTGTCCTCCTCTTCCTCACTCACTCTCATAGTCTTTGTTTGTGCCGTTCACACAGTCTTTCCCAATCTGCACGGCCTTTCCCTGCTTCCATCACTTCCCCTGCCCAGCTGCGTTCCTACCACCCCTCTGCCGCTAGCTCTGTGTGCTCGTCTTTCCACTCCTGTCGTTCCCCCTCTCTCCCCCTGTCCCTCCTCCTCTCCTCCTCCCCCTCACTGCACCAGCCGAATGAGGAGGAGACACAGCTGTTTGACGTGTTGTGGCTGCTGCTCGCCAGTGTCGTCTTCGTCCCCATCTTCCAGAAGCTTCCCGGAGGTACTCTCACTCTCTTGCATCCGCCACCCATGCTGCCACCCATGCTGCCACCCATGCTGCCACCCATGCTGCCACCCATGGACAGCCCATGCTGCCACCCATGCCGCCACCCATGCTGCCATGCCATGCCACCTATGCTGCCACCCGACCTCTCTCCCTCATACTTCCCTCCCTCACACCTCCCTCCCTCCTACCTCTTTCTCCCAACAACACAGGCAGCCCTGTGCTGGGCTACTTGGCAGCAGGGGCGCTCATCGGCCCATACGCACTCTCCATCATAAAGCACGTGCACGGCACCAAGGCGCTAGCAGAGTTTGGCGTGGTCTTCCTCATGTTCAACATCGGCCTCGAGGTCCGTGCTGCTCTCTCTGGTGTGCCTCGTTGCATCGAGTAAGTGGTGGAGGAGGGTTTCAAATCTGTGCGAGAGTTTGGTGTTGACTTCCTCATGTTCAATTCAACTTCCGCCTCAAGTCAGTTAGTGCTGTGTTTCCACAATGGACCAAGAAAATGTTTTCCACGACTATTCTCGTGTTCTTGCGTGCCTGTCAGGCCCCTCAAATAGGGCATCACTTTGCTCACTCTCACCATCCTCGCCTCTTCTCCTGCCCTCTCACTCCTCCTGCCTCCCTCCCTGACAAACCCCTCCCCTGATCGCCACATCAGCTATCCCTGGAGCGCCTTCGCTCCATGCGCAAATACGTCTTTGGGCTCGGCTCCGCTCAGGTGTGTGCCCTGCCTGCTGTATGTTACGCACCTCCTGTTGGCACTGCCTCTTGCCCTCTGCCTGTGCCCCTCCCTTCTCTCTTCTCCAAATGATCTATTCCCCTTTTCACAATCTCTTCTGGCACCCCACCAATTGTACACCTCTGCCCATCTGTTCAACCCCCAGTTTTGTTTTAAGCCATCCATCCCATATGTCTAATCTCTACTCGTGTCCCTCATCTCCCCCTATCTCTCCCCGCCGGTACTGCCAGGTGCTGGTGTCAGCGCTGGCGATAGGGCTGTGTGTGCTGGCACTGGCGCGTGTGTCGGGCCCAGCAGCCATTGTCATTGGCAACGGCCTTGCCCTCTCCTCCACCGCCGTTGTCCTCCAGGTCAGTCTCTGTTGCTCTCAAGATGAATCTCTGTTGCTCCTCTGGTGGGACTCTGCTGGTTGTCTTGAGATTCACTAAAAAGAGCCAGTTTGCATTTTGGGTCTGCAAGCAACTCCCCGTCCGTCCTCCCAATGCTCCGCTGTACTACTGACACTGCACCTAACCGCCACCTCACTCCGCTTCTCCCGGTCGCCCTGCAGGTGTTGCAAGAGCGGGGGGAGAGCACATCCCGCCATGGCCGGGCCACCTTCTCCGTGCTGCTCTTCCAGGTGCTGCTTGTGCTCTTGTATACATGCATCGCATGCATGCATACGAGATTATTTGTTGTGCGCTTCACTTGTTGCCACTCTGTGCTCCCCGCTCTGCACTCTGCATTCGTCTACGTCCCCAGCCTCCATCCTGCTCGTGCAAAGATGTGTCTGCTCCTTCCCGGCACCACCCCCTGCCCGCCCCTTTCACGTACATCTTTATGATGCTGCCCATCCCATGACTGTCCGTTCAGTGACAAGGCACATGCCCATTTGTAACATCCCTTCCCTTCCCAGCCCATCCTTTCCATCACCCACCATTGTATACCCCTTTACTCCCATGCCCCATGTGCCATGTGCTATGGCCCATGCCCCATGCCCCATGTGCCATGTGCTATGGCCCATCCCATGCCCCATGTGCCATGCCACAGGATCTAGCAGTGGTGGTTCTGCTCATCCTCATTCCGCTTCTCTCGCCCACCTCGTCCCGAGGGGTGAGTCACTCTCCTCCTTCCTTTCTCCTCTCCCTCTCTCCGTTCGCTTCATGCTCCAATCCGCCCACACTTCCTCCCTCCTGCATGCATAGCACAAGAATCTCATCACTTATCTTCACTCGTTGTCCATTGTATCACATCACATGCATGCCTGGTACTGCTGTACCTCACATCACATCACTTATCCCTCTATTCATGCCTTCTAGTGCTGCGCGCAGTTCCACTGTGCACCTCACCTCTCCGCCACCAACTGTGCGCTGCTCCCCCTATTCATGTGCAACCCCCACCAGGGAGTGGGATTCAGCGCAATAGCGGAGGCGCTGGGGGTGGCGGCAGTGAAGGCTGTCGTCGCCATTGCCGGCATCATTGCGGGCGGCCGACTGGTGCGTGCTGCTGCTGGGGTTGGGGCCAAGGCTAGTGGGTGCTGCTGGGGTTGGGGCCAAGGCTAGTGGGTGCTGCTGGGGTTGGGGCCAAGGCTAGTGGGTGCTGCTGGGGTTGGGGCCAAGGCTAGTGGGTGCTGCTGAGATTGGGGTAGGCGGGTGGCTGCTGGGAGTGGCGGCAGTTGCAGGCATCATTGCGGGCGGCCGACTGGTGCGTGCTGCTGCTTTAGGTGGGTGGGTGCTGCTGGGGTTGGGGTGGGCGGGTGGGTGCTGCTGGGGTTGGGGTAGGCGGGTGGGTGCTGCTGGGGGTGGCGGCAGTGAAGGCTGTGGTTGCCATTGCCGGCATCATTGCGGGCGGCAGGCTGGTGCGTGCTGCTGCTGGGGTTGGGGTGGGCGGGTGGGTGCTGGCGCTGGGGGTGGTGGCAGTGAAAGCTGTCATGGCCATTGCAAGCATTATTACGGGCGGCTGACTGGTGAGTGCCACTGCTGGAGGCTGGGCCTTGGCTGATGGTTTTTGGAAATCTCAATGAGTGTTGGTAGGAGAATTATGACTAGCCCTCCTCTTTGCGTTCAAATCCCGCTTTCAACCCGCACCCCCTTCCCCCCCCTCCCCCTCCCCCGCAGTTGCTGCGCCCCATATATCGGAGCATGGCGGAGAATCACAACGCGGAGATCTTTGCCGCCAACACGCTGCTCGTGGTGCTCGGCACATCCGTGCTCACTGCCCGGGTGAGCACTGTCGGGGGGATGGTGGCTGAGGGGGAAGAGGAGGGTGGGAGGGCGGGAGGGTGAGGCGCGCTGGGGGAAAGAGGGGGGCTGCCAACGCACTGCTCGTGGTGCTCGGTACCTCCGTGCTCACTGCCCGGGTGAGGATGGTGGGAGCACGGCAGCGAGGGTGACAGGCGGTTAACGTGGCCGAAGGCCGGATGACAGAAGGGAGAGGGTGGGGGAGCGGCGAGGGGCATGGCGGAGGGGGATTGTAGGTGCCTCCCCTCCGCACTGTGCTTGTTGGAAGATCTCTTGTGTGCTGTCACGGCAGGGGTGCAGCGCATGGCGAGGGTGGCAGGCAGGCAGCATGGGGCGTGTCATTGCAAGCTGATGGGTCTGCTGGCCAGGCCGCTGTCCCCTTCTCATTCTCATTGCTCCGCTGCCCGTCTCACTGCCACCCGTCTCACTGCCACCCGCTATTGCTTATTGACACGCCACCAGCCCTTACCTTCCCTGCTGTGAACTCATTCTCTCTCTGCCCTGTGCGCATCCGTGGCAGGCGGGGCTGTCCATGGCACTGGGAGCGTTTCTGGCGGGCCTGCTGCTCTCAGAGACGGAATTCGCCCTGCAGGTGGGTGCTTGACTGGCTGGCTGATGCGTGCTGGGCTGTCAACGCATCTCATGCAAACAGCATTGCGAGGAAGCATCATAGGGCCATGAGGTAAAATGTTGGGTGATTCCCCTTGCACCTGCCGAGGTCTCTCTCTCACCGAATCGCATCACTCTCCTGCCCTCACCGACTCGTGCGCCTAAACTCTTTGAATTCGCCACCCTCCCTTTTAGGGCCCTCCGCCTCTGTCCTATTCGACCTTACCCCTCCTCTTCCTTGTGCCGTCCCTCCCCCCTCTCCCCCACCGCCTGCCATCACAGGTGGAGTCAGACATCAACCCCTACCGTGGGCTGCTGCTGGGGCTCTTCTTCATGACTGTGAGTCGATGGAAACGAGTGCCTGTGCACCATTCATGTAGGCAGCTTCTCAGTCACCTCAGAGGCAGCGCCACAAGCATCCACGCTAGCAGCGCCCATCAGGTGGAGTCAGATATCAACCCCTAACGCGGGCTGCTGCTGGGGCTCTTCTTCATGACTGTACGTCTTTTGCACATGCGCATACGAGCGTCTACGCGCATCCTCCCCCGTACGGTGTCATCTTTCCATTACCATTACCATTACCATTACCATTACCATTACCATTACAATTACCATTACCATTACCATTACCATTACCATTATCATTACCATTACCATTACCATTACAATTACCATTACCATTACCATTACCATTACAATTACCATTACCATTACCATTACCATTACCATTACTATTACCATTACCATTACCATTACCATTACCATTACCATTACCATTACAATTACCATTACCATTACAATTACCATTACTAATCCATTACTTATTACCTATTACCATTACCATCACCATTACCATTACCATTACCATTACTATTACCATTACCATTACCATTACCATTACCATTACCATTACAATTACCATTACCATTACAATTACCATTACTAATCCATTACTTATTACCTATTACCATTACAATCACCATTGCCATTACCATTACCATTACCATTAACATTACCATTACCATTACCATTACCATTACCATTACCATTACCATTAACATTACCATTACCATTAAGATTACCATTACCACTACCATTACCATTACATTGTACACGGCATCCGTCGCACGCTCAACCCCCTACCGCACATCCATCTTACCCCCCCCCCATCCTCTTTCTCTCCCCCACCAGGTGGGCATGTCAATCGATCCCAAGCTGCTGGTGTCACGATTCCCCCTCATCCTAGCCGCCCTGGCGGTGCTCATAGCGGGCAAGACGGCACTGCTGGCGGGCATGGGGCTCCTCTTTGGCTCAATCTCCTTTCCCCCCGCTTCTCTCCCTCTATTCCCCCCTCAGGTGGGCATGTCAATCGATCCCAAGCTGCTGGTGGCGCGTTTCCCCCTCATCCTGGCAGCGCTCGCAGTGCTCATAGCGGGCAAGGCAGCTCTGCTGGCGGGCATGGGGCGCCTCTTCCGCTCAATCCCCCATCTTCCCCTTGTTCCCCTCCCTTCTCTCTCCACTTCCACAGGTGGGCATGTCGATCGATCCCAAGCTGCTCGTGGCGCGTTTTCCCCTCATCCTGGCAGCCCTCGCGGTGCTTATTGCGGGCAAGACCGCACTTCTGGCGGGCATGGGGCGTCTCTTCGGCCTCTCACCCGTGGCTGCTGTGCGCACGGGCCTGCTGCTCGCCCCTGGAGGGGAGTTTGCATTTGTTGCATTCGGGGAGGCTGTCAGCAAGGTGGGCATTGGGGGAAGCAAGGAGCGGAGATTGGTTGGGGGGGAGAGGGGGGAGGAGGGTTTCTTTAGAGGGTATGGGGTATGGGAGGAGGCCTCTCACCGGTGTGCTGGTGTGCTGTGCGCACGGGCCTGCTGCTCGCCCCTGGAGGGGATTTTGCGTTGGAGAGGCTGTCAGCAAGGTGAGTGTGGGAAGAAGGGGAAGGAAGAGAGTCCTGCAGCCAGCTGGTTTGTGCTCTCCCCCCTTTATGCTCACTGCTCTCCCGCTGCCTTTTATGCTCACTGCTCTCCCGCTGCCCTTTATGCTCACTGCTCTCCCGCTGCCCTTTATGCTCACTGCTCTCCCGCTGCCCTTTATGCTCACTGCTCTCCCGCTGCCCTTTATGCTCACTGCTCTCCCGCTGCCCTTTATGCTCACTGCTCTCCCGCTGCCCTTTATGCTCACTGCTCTCCCGCTGCCCTTTATGCTCACTGCTCTCCCGCTGCCCTTTATGCTCACTGCTCTCCCGCTGCCCTTTATGCTCACTGCTCTCCCGCTGCCCTTTATGCTCACTGCTCTCCCGCTGCCCTTTATGCTCACTGCTCTCCCGCTGCCCTTTATGCTCACTGCTCTCCCGCTGCCCTTTATGCTCACTGCTCTCCCGCTGCCCTTTATGCTCACTGCTCTCCCGCTGCCCTTTATGCTCACTGCTCTCCCGCTGCCCTTTATGCTCACTGCTCTCCCGCTGCCCTTTATGCTCACTGCTCTCCCGCTGCCCTTTATGCTCACTGCTCTCCCGCTGCCCTTTATGCTCACTGCTCTCCCGCTGCCCTTTATGCTCACTGCTCTCCCGCTGCCCTTTATGCTCACTGCTCTCCCGCTGCCCTTTATGCTCACTGCTCTCCCGCTGCCCTTTATGCTCACTGCTCTCCCGCTGCCCTTTATGCTCACTGCTCTCCCGCTGCCCTTTATGCTCACTGCTCTCCCGCTGCCCTTTATGCTCACTGCTCTCCCGCTGCCCTTTATGCTCACTGCTCTCCCGCTGCCCTTTATGCTCACTGCTCTCCCGCTGCCCTTTATGCTCACTGCTCTCCCGCTGCCCTTTATGCTCACTGCTCTCCCGCTGCCCTTTATGCTCACTGCTCTCCCGCTGCCCTTTATGCTCACTGCTCTCCCGCTGCCCTTTATGCTCACTGCTCTCCCGCTGCCCTTTATGCTCACTGCTCTCCCGCTGCCCTTTATGCTCACTGCTCTCCCGCTGCCCTTTATGCTCACTGCTCTCCCGCTGCCCTTTATGCTCACTGCTCTCCCGCTGCCCTTTATGCTCACTGCTCTCCCGCTGCCCTTTATGCTCACTGCTCTCCCGCTGCCCTTTATGCTCACTGCTCTCCCGCTGCCCTTTATGCTCACTGCTCTCCCGCTGCCCTTTATGCTCACTGCTCTCCCGCTGCCCTTTATGCTCACTGCTCTCCCGCTGCCCTTTATGCTCACTGCTCTCCCGCTGCCCTTTATGCTCACTGCTCTCCCGCTGCCCTTTATGCTCACTGCTCTCCCGCTGCCCTTTATGCTCACTGCTCTCCCGCTGCCCTTTATGCTCACTGCTCTCCCGCTGCCCTTTATGCTCACTGCTCTCCCGCTGCCCTTTATGCTCACTGCTCTCCCGCTGCCCTTTATGCTCACTGCTCTCCCGCTGCCCTTTATGCTCACTGCTCTCCCGCTGCCCTTTATGCTCACTGCTCTCCCGCTGCCCTTTATGCTCACTGCTCTCCCGCTGCCCTTTATGCTCACTGCTCTCCCGCTGCCCTTTATGCTCACTGCTCTCCCGCTGCCCTTTATGCTCACTGCTCTCCCGCTGCCCTTTATGCTCACTGCTCTCCCGCTGCCCTTTATGCTCACTGCTCTCCCGCTGCCCTTTATGCTCACTGCTCTCCCGCTGCCCTTTATGCTCACTGCTCTCCCGCTGCCCTTTATGCTCACTGCTCTCCCGCTGCCCTTTATGCTCACTGCTCTCCCGCTGCCCTTTATGCTCACTGCTCTCCCGCTGCCCTTTATGCTCACTGCTCTCCCGCTGCCCTTTATGCTCACTGCTCTCCCGCTGCCCTTTATGCTCACTGCTCTCCCGCTGCCCTTTATGCTCACTGCTCTCCCGCTGCCCTTTATGCTCACTGCTCTCCCGCTGCCCTTTATGCTCACTGCTCTCCCGCTGCCCTTTATGCTCACTGCTCTCCCGCTGCCCTTTATGCTCACTGCTCTCCCGCTGCCCTTTATGCTCACTGCTCTCCCGCTGCCCTTTATGCTCACTGCTCTCCCGCTGCCCTTTATGCTCACTGCTCTCCCGCTGCCCTTTATGCTCACTGCTCTCCCGCTGCCCTTTATGCTCACTGCTCTCCCGCTGCCCTTTATGCTCACTGCTCTCCCGCTGCCCTTTATGCTCACTGCTCTCCCGCTGCCCTTTATGCTCACTGCTCTCCCGCTGCCCTTTATGCTCACTGCTCTCCCGCTGCCCTTTATGCTCACTGCTCTCCCGCTGCCCTTTATGCTCACTGCTCTCCCGCTGCCCTTTATGCTCACTGCTCTCCCGCTGCCCTTTATGCTCACTGCTCTCCCGCTGCCCTTTATGCTCACTGCTCTCCCGCTGCCCTTTATGCTCACTGCTCTCCCGCTGCCCTTTATGCTCACTGCTCTCCCGCTGCCCTTTATGCTCACTGCTCTCCCGCTGCCCTTTATGCTCACTGCTCTCCCGCTGCCCTTTATGCTCACTGCTCTCCCGCTGCCCTTTATGCTCACTGCTCTCCCGCTGCCCTTTATGCTCACTGCTCTCCCGCTGCCCTTTATGCTCACTGCTCTCCCGCTGCCCTTTATGCTCACTGCTCTCCCGCTGCCCTTTATGCTCACTGCTCTCCCGCTGCCCTTTATGCTCACTGCTCTCCCGCTGCCCTTTATGCTCACTGCTCTCCCCTCCACTCCCCTCTCCCTGCCATCCCTTCATCTCACCCAATCCCCATCCACATCCGCATACCCATCCCCCTCCCCTCCCCTCCACCCACAGGGCATAATGGGCGCACAGCTGTGTTCGCTGCTCTTCATAGTGGCGGCTTTCAGTATGCCCATCACGCCATGGCTCGCCCATTCCTGTTCCCATCTGGATCCCCATCCCCTCCCCCATCTCACCCCCACAGGGCATAATGAGCGCACAGCTGTGCTCACTTCTCTTCATAGTGGTGGGGCTCAGCATGGCCATCACGCCATGGCTGGCCAATTCCATCCCCATCCCCTTCACCCTCACTCCCCTTCCCCCTGCCCCTACCCCCATCGCCTTCCCCCCCAACAGGGCATCATGAGCGCCCAACTCTGTTCGCTGCTGTTCATAGTGGTGGGGCTGAGCATGGCCATCACGCCATGGCTGGCAGCAGTGGGGCAGCTTATCGCCTCGCGCTTTGACCAGCAGGACGTGCGCTCACTGCAGCCACACGAGGCCGAGGTAAGTGAGGTTTATTCTAGTGAGAGGTTTGTGGAGCTACCTACAGGAGGTGAAAGTTCTCTTTCTTCAGACAACTTATATGTGGATTTGCTGGGTGTTTGGTTAGAGGCCACTGCTGGCAATGTGCATTCCATGCTGCCTTCACTTCACCGTCAATGCCTGCATTTACCCCAAGTCCTTGTCTCAACATCCAACCGTTCTCCACCTCTCTCTGCCCCTCTCCTTGCTCTCTCCCTGCCAACGCCCGCACATCAGACGGACGATCTGCAGGGTCACATCATCATCTGCGGCTTCGGCCGCGTGGGTCAGGTGAGCCTTCTGCTGCCCCCAGGTGAAACTTCTGTTGCTCTCAGGTGAACCTCTGTCGTTACCATGTTGACTTCCGTTGTGCCACATGACCTCTTTGCTCTGCTGCTGCAAGATGAGCCTTCCGATGCCATCATCTCTAGCGTGCTATCACCCTGTATTCGCGTCTCATTCCTCCCCTTTGCTGACTCCCATCCCTCGCACCCATCCCCCACACCCATCTCCTCCCCCCACGCCTCTGAGTAGATAATAGGCCAGCTGCTATCGGAGCGGCTCATCCCCTTTGTGGCGCTGGACGTCAGCAGCGAGCGGGTCAGCGCCGGGCGCTCTCTCGACCTCCCCGTCTACTTTGGTGACGCTGGCAGCCGCGACGTGAGTGCCAACCCCCCTCTTGCCCCTCTTCCCCCTCTTCCTGCATTCTCCTTTCCTTGTCCATGCGTGCCTCTCTCAATCATCTCCTCTCCCCTCCTCCCCTCCTCCCTGTCCTCGCTCGCTCATGCCCTGAGCGGCTAGTGTGGGCGCTGAGCAAGAGCTTCCCCTCCCTTCCTCCCGCACCCCTGCCCCCTACTAATCCCTCTCCCCACACGGCCACAGGTGTTGCACAAGGTGGGGGCGGAGCGGGCAGCAGCAGCAGTGATCACTCTCGACACGCCAGGAGCCAACTATCGCGCGGTGTGGGCGCTCAGCAAGAGCTTTCCGCACGTCAAGACGTTTGTGAGAGCGCACGACGTCACCCATGGGATCAACCTGGAGAAGGCCGGGGCTACTGCTGTTGTTCCTGAGACGCTCGAACCCAGCCTGCAGCTTGCTGCTGCTGTGCTCTCTCAGGTAGGCTTGAGTCGAGGGCTCTGATAGTTGCTTGAGTCGAGGGCTCTGATAGTTGCTTGAGTCGAGGGCTCTGATAGTTGAGTCGAGGGCTCTGATAGTTGCTTGAGTCGAGGGCTCTGATAGTTGCTTGAGTCGAGGTCTCTGACAGTTGCTGCTTATTATTCTCGTCCCCTCTCATTCCTTCCCCCTTCCCTCATGTGTCTCGCTTCCACCTCCCCTATGCGTGCCGCTCTCTCCCTCCCACCTCCCCATGCCCGCTGACCAGGCGAAGCTGCCAGCAGCAGAGATAGCCGCCACGCTGGACGACTTCAGAACGCGACACCTGGCAGAGCTGACTGAGGTGAGACACGTGGCAGATAATACCGAAGTGATTTCCCCGTTTTTCTTGGAGCTAGCGGGCCATCCATGTAGATCTAGCACGTTCGGTTCTTCTTTTTTCTTGCTCCTCCTCTCATTCCTACACTCTGCCTCTCGTCCTCTCCTCATCCTCTCCTCTCGTTACTCTCTACCCTCCCTTGCGCAGCTCTCTGCATTGAGTGGGTCATCGCTGGGCTATGGCTATAGCAGCAACCTCATGCGCGCGAGAGTCGCCGAGGCAGCAAGCGCAGCCGGAGTAGGTGGGGAAGCAGGGAGTGGCAGTAGTAGTGGCGACGGCAGCAGCAGCAGTGTGACAGAGGGTGAGGGAGGTATGGAAGGGCAAGTTGTGGTGGTGCCAGCTTAAAATCGCGGCTCAGATTCTCTAATTTACATGTACGGTATGTGTGAACCTCGAATTCACATGATCAGATGTACATTTCAAATAATGCATAATTCTGTAAAGGAGTAGCGTAAACGGTGTACATGATCATCACACAGTTTCGCCGTGGTCCTGGTTGTGCCCGTGTCACAAGCATTGAGGATGCTCTTAGCGCGTACCACAACAACAGTGACCGATACCGCACAGGCAGGACCGACACAATGCAGGCTTGCCATTGACATCACCCGCACCACCCGCACCTGCAGCTCTATCGAGCTTCCGCGCGCCATCAATGGCGCGCCATGAGGATCGCGAGGCGTGCAGGCGTCAATGCGTCTGACTGACGCTTTCGAACGTGTAGGCTCTGCCGATAGTGCCGATAAATATTGCCTAGGCGCTGCCGGTAGTTGCTGCCGATCGGATGCGCTGGCTCGAACCCCGCGCGCCAGCACATTCCTCCGTGCGCGTCTCGATTCCGCCATCTGCTGCCCGCGCGCGCGTATCACGCCATTGCGGCAGCTGTCCGCGCGCAACAGAGCTCCTTTGACTGGGAATTGCTTGTTAGAATCAGTGCCGTGATAAGATTGTCCGAACGTCCCGCCGCGAGGGCTGTTACGTGGTAGCGGTGTTCGCTCTTCCCGCTCGCATGGCGGGCCTAAACCTTCTCGGCCTCTCCCGCGGCTCCGGCAGACGTCCCTCCGTGAGTCGCGCACGTCTCGATCCCCACTCACCCTCGTTCTCTCCTGCCCTCCCGCTTGCTTTCCTCCCTTCGTGCATCTTCCCCTCCTCTCCGCTCCGCGCGACTCTCCTCCGCGGCACGCGCTCGTTACCCTCGTCGCGCCATTCTTCGTTCCGCGCCCCTCCGCGCAAGCCGCATCTCCCCCTTCCGCCAATACCGCTCAACGCTCTCTTCCCCCCTCTCCCCCAATCTCCCCTCATGCTCTCTCCCCTCCCCTCCCCTCTTCCGCGCCCTCCCGCACATCAGGCGCGGAGGCGCAAGGCAGGCGCGCGGGAGGGCGGGGTGGTGCTGCCGGTGCGCGCGCTGCTGCTGCTGTGCGCCGCGTGCCTGGCGCTCGTGCTGCTCGCCGTGCTCGCTGTGGTGCTCTGGGTATGTGTGCGGTGCGGTGGGAATGCTGCCTATCTCTTTTCTCTCCTACCTCCTCACTCCTCATACTCCCCTCTCCTCGCTCATCTCTCCTCTCCCCTCACTCCTCACTCTCCCTTCTCCTCGCTCATCTCTCCTCTCTCCTCACTCCTCTCTCCCTTCTCCTCCCTCTTCTCCCCTCCCTTTTCATCCAGGTTGCCTCACTCTCATGGCGGCATCAGCAGTTAGCCAGCGCTCTAGCCAACTCCAACTGCTGCTGCTGCTGCTGCTGCTGCAGGGGGGAGTGGGGCGAGTGGTGGGGGAAGTGGAGCAGCAGCAGCAGCAGCAGCAGCAGCAGCAGCAGCAGCAGCAGCAGCAGCAGCAGCAGCAGGTGGCGGTTCTACAAAAGAGGCAGATAAAGAGATGAACCCTGCAAACCCCATGCACCTGCATGGTATGACCCTGCACTGTGATTTCTGTAGACCCTATCAATCTTGAACTTTTAGCATGAAGGTCATGAGTGTGGGCCTTATGAGTGGAGAGCACTCGAGGCACTCTTATTGATTCATTTCGTGCTCTCTTTGCCTTCCCTCTCCTCCTGTGTTGCAGCTGCTCCTCCTGCATCCCCTCCTCCTCCGCCCAAGGTTAGCCATGCCACTATGACATGCCATGCCATTCAATGTCATACCCCCGTGCCATGCCATCCCACTGCACAGCATGCCACGCCGCGATGCCATGCCACGACACCATGCCATGCCATGTCGTGCATTCTTGCGCCCGTCTTGGTGTGAGCACATCTCTTTGGTACATGCCATTTGCATGGATGCCATGCCGCGTGTGACCCATGCCCGCAGCAGCAACACCAGCAGTTCCACCGCAACAATGCACGTTGCTGAATGCACACTGCCCACACCACACCGCCCACACCACACTGCCCACACCACACTGCCCACAACACACAGCCCACACCACACTGCCCACACCACACTGCTCCTTACTGCTCAGCCCATGCCCAAACTGGCTGCACTTTCGTCTCTCCAACCCCTCCCCTCCCTCCCAGTCCGCCCGCAAGCGGCGCAAAGCCAAGCCAACGGACCTGATAAACCAGCGGCGGTGGCAGCAGTTCTACCGCAACATAGTCCTCATCGTGAACTACAAGCGCCCGCAGCAGATGCCCGTCACGCTCGACCTCATCCACTCGCTCTACGGCTCGCTCTTCCAACGCATCCTCGCTGTCTCTGAGTTCGGCGATGCGGATTTGGGTGTGCTCGAGGTGCGTTCGTGATGTGGTGTGGGGTGGATTTGGTGGGGAAGAGGGGGGAGGCACGAGGGAATGGCTCTACGGCTCGCTCTTCCAGCGTATCCTCGCTGTTTCTGAGTACGGGGATGCCGACCTGGGCGTGCTGGAGGTGCGTTCGCCGTGCAGGCGCGGGGGTATGGGGTGGGGTGCAAGGGATTAGCTCTACGGCTCGCTCTTCCAATGCATCCTTGCCGTCTCTGAATACGGAGATGCTGATTTGGGCGTGCTTGAGGTGCGTGTCGTGCGGGGGGGTAACGGGAGAGAAAGAGCTTGGTTGAAGAGGGAAAAGGGAAACAGAGTTGGAAGCTACAGGGGCTGGGCTGGCGGCAGGGCCATGACTTGCTGTTATGTCTGAGGAATTCCACTCACCACCCTCATACATCCCTCTCCACCGCTCGTTTATCCCTTCTCACCACTCTGGCAATTCAATTCTCTCTCGCACCCTCTCCCACCTGCCTGCCTGCCTGCCACCTAAGTCGCCTGTGAAGGAGACGGGGCACGGCCACGACTTGCCGCCCGGGTCATTGCACTACACTGTGCTGCCGAAGCTGCTGACGTGGCACCCCATGGCGGAGGGCTTCCTGTGGATGGACGATGACACGGTGCTCAACTACTGGACCATGAGCCGTGATAACAAGGTGCGGTTACTGGGTAACTGTGTGGGGTAACCAGGTAACTGATATCCGCGGTTACAAGGTAGCGAGGTGCAGTTTTAAGGTAACCAAATTTGTGCCAATCAGGTAGTGTACAGGTGAGTAACCAGATAACAAGGTGTGGTAATGTGGTAGCAAGGTGCAGTAACGTGGTAACAAGCGCATACGGTAACAGGCTGGGGCAACGTGGTTACAATGCACAATCCCTGTCACCATGCACATACCACCCCGCCCCCTTTCGCATCCCCTACCATCTTTCCCATCCCACCTGTCCCAATCTCCTTTCACACCCTCCGCCCTCTTCACTCCCCACCATGCACCAGTCATGTCGCATTGCCAGCCTGGACCCCATGGCACATCCCACCCCGTTCCCTCCATCTGTCCCTCAATCCCCGTCATCCCCTTCATCCCCTTCATCCCCTTCCTTCTCTCCCCCCCACCAGTCGCGCATCTGGTTCCTGGGCCCCATGCACCAGTCGTGGCGCATTGCAAGCCTGGACCCCACTGGGGGCGTGGCGGGGGGATGGGGAGGGCAGGGGGGAGGGGAGGGGAGGGAGGCGGCAGCAGTGAGGTACATGGAGGATGCGAGTGAGCGCGTGGAGGAGAGTGGGGAGGCGCTACAGCTTCTCAAGCAAGCAGTTTCCCAGGTGAGACCTCTCGTGTCCTGCCATGCCATACCATGCCATGGCATGAAATGCCTTACCGTGCGGTGCCATCCTGTGATATGCTATGTGACTCAACCTGTGTCCCATTGTCATCATCAGCATCATCAGCATCAGCATCAGCATCAGCATCAGCATCAGTGCATCAGCATCAGCATCAGTGCATCAGCATCAGCGCATCAGCATCAGCGCATCAGCATCAGCGCATCATCATCAGCATCAGCATCAGCATCAGCGCATCAGCATCAGCATCAGCATCAGCGCATCAGCATCAGCGCATCAGCATCAGCATCAGCATCAGCATCAGCGCATCAGCATCAGCATCAGCATCAGCATCAGCGCATCAGCATCAGCGCATCAGCGCATCAGCATCAGCATCAGCGCATCAGCATCAGCATCAGCATCAGCATCAACATCAGCATCAGCGCATCAGCATCAGCATCAGCATCAGGATCAGCATCAGCATCAGCATCAGCATCAGCGCATCAGCATCAGCATCAGCATCAGTGCATCAGCATCAGCATCAGCATCAGCATCAGCGCATCAGCATCAGCATCAGCATCAGCATCAGCGCATCAGCATCAGCATCAGCATCAGCGCATCAGCATCAGCATCAGTGCATCAGCATCAGCATCAGCATCAGCATCAGCATCAGCATCAGCGCATCAGCATCAGCATCAGCATCAGCGCATCAGCATCAGCATCAGCATCAGCATCAGCGCATCAGCATCAGCATCAGCATCAGCGCATCAGCATCAGCATCAACATCAGCATCAGCATCAGCATCAGCATCAGCGCATCAGCATCAGCATCGGCATCAGCATCAGCATCAGCGCATCAGCATCAGCATCAGCATCAGCATCAGCATCAGTGCATCAGCATCAGCACATCAGCATCAGCATCAGCATCAGCATCAGCATCAGCGCATCAGCATCAGCATCAGCATCAGCATCAGCGCATCAGCATCAGCATCAGCGCATCAGCATCAGCATCAGCATCAGCGCATCAGCATCAGCATCAGCATCAGCGCATCAGCATCAGCATCAGCATCAGCATCAGCGCATCAGCATCAGCATCAGAATCAGCATCAGCATCAGCATCAGCATCAGCGCATCAGCATCAGCATCAGCATCAGCATCAGCGCATCAGCATCAGCATCAGCATCAGCATCAGCGCATCAGCATCAGCATCAGCATCAGCATCAGCATCAGCGCATCAGCATCAGCATCAGCATCAGCATCAGCATCAGCGTCAGCATCAGCATCAGCATCAGTATCAGCATCAGCATCAGCGCATCAGCATCAGCGCATCAGCATCAGCATCAGCGCATCAGCATCAGCATCAGCATCAGCATCAGCATCAGCGCATCAGCGCATCAGCATCAGCATCAGCATCAGCATCAGAATCAGCATCAGCATCTGCATCAGCATCAGCATCAGCATCAGCATCAGAATCAGCATCAGCATCAGCATCAGCATCAGCATCAGCATCAGCGCATCAGCATCAGCATCAGCATCAGCGCATCAGCATCAGCATCAGCATCAGCGCATCAGCATCAGCATCAGCGTATCAGCATCAGCATCAGCATCAGCATCAGCATCAGCATCAGCATCAGCGCATCAGCATCAGCATCAGCATCAGCGCATCAGCATCAGCATCAGCATGAGCATCAGCATCAGCATCAGCATCAGCATCAGCGCATCAGCATCAGCATCAGCATCAGCATCAGCATCAGCGCATCAGCATCAGCATCAGCATCAGCGCATCAGCATCAGCATCAGCATCAGCGCATCAGCGCATCAGCATCAGCATCAGCATCAGCATCAGCGCATCAGCGCATCAGCATCAGCGCATCAGCATCAGCATCAGCATCAGTGCATCAGCATCAGCGCATCAGCATCAGCATCAGCATCAGCATGTGCATCAGCATCAGCATCAGCATCAGCATCAGCGTCAGCATCAGCATCAGCATCAGCAGCATCAGCATCAGCATCAGCATCGGCATCAGACCACCACTGTAGATAGCAGATGTTGCCAGCTCCTTAACTCTCCCGGAAGTTTTTTCATTACCCTTCAAACATTCACACTTTCCCCTGATCCCTCCCCTCCCCTCCCCCCTTTCTCCTCTGCCTCTCTTACCTCTGCCCCCTCCCCTCCCATCCACCTCCTATACCTGCCACACCCCAACGCCCTTCCCCTCCAGGCGCTCTCCCACCTCCCCCCACAGCACCTGCAGCAGTACTACCAGTCCATCTCCCCCAAGACAAACATCTTCCTGCGAGCGGCGTCGGACGTCTTTTATATCCCGCAGCGCCATGCAGCTGCCATGCGCACCCTCATCCCCATCTTTGCCGACCATCGCATCGTGGCTGATGTGAGTTGCACCCATTCTTGTCTTCCGATTCTGCTTTGTTCTGTTCTACCTTCTAATTCTCATAGGGTACTTTTTGGGCCACTTAACTTGTCTTTTACTTTTTCATTCATTTCTCAAGCTCCTCTCCTTCTGTCTATACATTCTCCTTTATTCGTGTGGTCTTATCTTCAGGTGGCAATACCAATGATGCTGCATGCATTGGAGCATCCACGAGAGTGGGACAATCACGCATTAACTGACGTTATTTATCTCACAGGAACAGACGTTAATACGCCTGCTAAATTCTACTCGCCCCGTGTCACGGCCATGCATCCATGGGGTCTGTCAGCACACCACCATGGCTCCCACATCATCAAGGCAATGTCGCGGGGGGACCCGATGCTAGAATCCACGATAGATGGAGAAAGGGTAGGAAATCTGTAACAATCTATGATGTTCACTCTTCTGTATGCTTCGTTCGCAGGATTTTTTATATCGCTTCGGTGCATGGTTGCCAGCATTACAAGCCGCATGTCACGCTAACCACAGGCACCACTCGCGAGTCGCAGATTACGAGCCGCATTCTCGAACTTCGGCCCCTCTTGCTCCCTCTCTCCCGCAACGCTCCACATCATTCTTCCCAACATTTTCCAAGCCCCAAACAAATCCTGCGCTGCAGCTCTCGCCTCGCCGCCTTGTGCTGTGTGAGCTTCGTGTGCTGCGTGTGTTGCTCCTGCTCTGTCCAAACTCCCACTCACGTCACACCCTTCGCTGCAACCACCCTTCCCTCAGCACCGTACAACAGCCCTACTCAGATACTTGCGGTGTTCCACCCCACCAAACTTACATTTCCCTTCTTTTCTCCGTCCCAGAAGCCAACTTCCCCTTGAGCCAGACACCCAACTCGCGCGCTTTGGTTGTGTCCTAGCACTAGGCTTGTGGTGCGAACGACAAACCCGGCCTGATCCATTGCAAACCCGGCATAGTCCACTGCCTTGTGGAGCAACAACACTTATGTTTGGTCGTACTCTCTGAAGGATTCAATTCCATGAGTCCGATTCACGAGTGAGACGATTGTCCAACATATACCACTTGGTCTTCGTGCTTCTAGTAGTGCTGTCCAAAAACGTGGCCCCTCCAGAGCCTTTTCCGAAAAGTAGGAACCATATCCATCACTGCTGCACACTTGGATGGTTGGCGTGGCGTGGAATCACGACATTGTCGCACGTTACTGAGATGATTTTCGAGTCGACTCAAAATTCGTTCAAGCAACATTGAGTCACGACAGCAGCGCTCGTTGCGCTCCACTCGGAGCAGTCTGCTGGACAGAGGGCCACTTTTTGAGAGTCATTCTCGAAAGCGACTCAGATCTGCTGGGCACAGAACCGTGCTCTGTGACAGCCCGAGATCTCCCAGCTCGCAAATATCTCGACTTAGAACGCCTAGATTCTTCATCAGTCCCCACCTAGTACCATCTTCTTCTCGAAACACCTCCAAATAAAACTCCTTCCTCCATGAAGACGAACAAGTCGCTTGGCGCGTTTGTGAACGGCGCGCTCGCGCTCGTCGGCTTGTGTCTCATTGGCGTCGCGCTGTGGATGCTGATCGACGCCACGTACGGCGCGTGCCTGCTGCCCTACCAACTCCCCGTCATCGTCATCGGCGCCGCGCTGCTGCTCGCGGCGCTCGTCGGCTTCTGCGGGCTCGCGTGCGACTCGAACGCGCTGTCATGCCTCTACCTCGTCGTCGCGCTCCTCGCCGTGCTCGCGTCCACGGCATTCACCAGTAAGTCCTCGTTTCGCTCTGTTCAGATCTACTAACAGATCTAGTAATATTTGCGGGATTGGTCTATCTATGAGTCATGCTTCTCCGTCTCGGTCGCCGTAAATCGTTTTCCTTCCCTTCCCTCGCCCATTGCCTCGCGACCATCATCCCCGCAGTCTTCGCTTTCCTTGTAACGGGCGGGGCGCCGGCGCCAATAACGAGTCGCAACCAGACGGTGTACATCACGTGGGGCTTCTCGCCGTGGATGCAGGCGCAAGTCGGCAACGCCACGTGGCCAGCAATGCAGACGTGCCTCGCGCGCCGCCGCACGTGCGCGGACCTTCGTCTATACGCCCCCGCTGTGCTCAACGGAACGCTGCTCCCGCCCATCGAGGTAACACTCCCATAACGTCTTTCCAGTGAGCGAGCGTGAAGCGGCGAAATACTTAGCGTTGCGGGGTATTCTTGACAATTCTCACAAATATTCTTAGAAAAAAAACTTACGTGACGCAACGTGGAAATTCCATCGCGCATTTAGCCCCTATTCCACCAACATGTTTTTGTTGCGCCCTATTGACTTTTCCCATGACAGGCCGGCTGCTGCCTTCCCCCGCAAGGCTGTCCCAACCGAACCTACAGACCCACGTACTACTCCTTCGCAAGCGTCGCCTCCACCGCTCCACAATCCCCTGCACCTGCCCAAACCCCCGGCGTGCCAGGAGGCTCAAATCCCTCACAAACCAGCAGCGGCAGCGGCAGCAGCAACAGGAGTCAGCAGAACTGCAGCGCATTCAGCATGGAGCCGCAGACGCTGTGCTACACGTGCGAGTACTGCAAGGGCGGCTTCCTGCACCTGCTGCACGCGCAGTACTCGCTGCTCAAGTTCGTCGCGCTAGGCGCGTCCATCGCGCTCCTCGTGCTCTACCTCATGGCGTGCTGCGCTGCCTTCACAGGCCTGGACGATGACCCTGACTCCAAAGAAAATGCTGATATCGCCGCTGCTGCTGCTGCTGCTGCTGCCGCGGCTGCTGTTACAAGTGGTAAGCTGCAGAAGAGCGGGACTATGAGCCGAGTGAACACCTTCACCGTGGCCCCGGGGCAGTTTGAGCGGGTTCTGTCGGCCAGGGTATGCGACCAAGGGGTTGGGATGGGGCCAGCGGGAGGCATGGGAGCAGCAGCAGTGACGCAGTTTGAGCGGTCGTTGACGCATGTGGATAAGTCACCAGGGGCACTGGATCGGTCTCTCACGGAGGTTGAGAAGAGAGGGGGTAGACGGGCGAGTTATGCGGGTGAAACAAGGATGCGCGAGGACATGCGAAGCCGAGGTAGCTCCATCGAAGACTCTCCGAGTTTCCGCGGCTATGCAGATGATGCACCACCGAGTTCCCGAAGCACACGAAGTTCCCGAAGTTCCCGAAGCTCAAAGAGCTCCCGAAGCTCAAAGAGTTCCCGAAGCACGAACACTTTCCGAACCTCCAGAAGCTCGGGGAGAGTCGAGGAGGTATTTGTGGTTGATATAGAGGAGGAGCGAGAACGGGGGCATGGAATGTCTAAGAGTCGTAGTCTCCATGACGATGCAATGTGGGAGGAGGATGAAGACATGTACTACAGTCGGATGGAGGAGAGGGCCTTCGAGGAGGAGATGGAGAGGGAGCGGGCGAGGGAGAGGGAGAGGGAGAGGGAGAGGGACGGGGAGAGGGAAAGGGACAGGGAGAGGGAAAGGGACAGGGAAGCAGGCATGATGCATGGAAGGAGCTACAGCAGTAAGAGCGGGTCAGGGTACAAGCAATCAACGCGGGCCAAGAAAGACGCCGCTCACCGCCCCGAGGCAAGTCGGAGAATGGCCATTCCAAGAGAAGCAGACGGTCGACCAGCGAAAAAATCTCAGAGCCTTTTCATGCAGGGGGTGAGGGGGGCCAGTCTGGGAGATATGCTTCGAGAAGAGATGAGCGGCCACATGAACCACCAAAGGTTTATGACTTGGAGGGCATGTATGATGATGAGAGTGGGTATGAAGATGGTAACCTATATGGTGACGGGCACCCACAGCCACAGCGGTCCCTGGATGCTGAATCAGATATATATGAAGGTGATGACTAAGATGAGGGGTCATTCAATGATAGGGTATAGCCTGTACTGTATTATGATATAATCAATAGAATTGTGTGTCTACATTTCTGCTTTTGTCAATTTGAGTTGCTGGTTGTTGAGCAATAGCAGTCACGCAACAGGCAGCTCTTTCATTGGCATTCCTCTCGTGTACAGTAAAGTCGCCCGCACTGTACAGCCACAGGCCCGGCAGTGGCTGCAGGTCCTTCAGTACTGTACTGTACTGTGCGGTTGAACAGTTCACGGCGCGAAATTGAGAGTTCTGGTGGAGTTGGGTCGAAGGTTGACAGAAACTGCAAAGGTGAAATAAGGTTTCAACGGCATTGAATGCGGTAAGTCACGGTATAGTGACACTACGCCGCCACCCTCACCACCACCTTCACTAGCCTTCCTTCCTGTGCTCTCCTCAGCAACATCAACTCTCTCTCTGCTTTGCCTTCTATGATCTTCACCGTACTTCCTTGGTCCTTCCGCATAAAGCGCTTTTCTCGTCCTTCCTTCCTCATCGCTCGTAATTCTCGCGATACGAGCGCTCGGCAGACCCTGCACTATCTTCATAAACATGTGCATATAAATGTGCACATGTAACATAAACACGTAATTCCACCCTGTGTGGAGAGACACTCGGCGTGAAGTCAGTTGTCTACGTTGGGCTTCTGTCGGGCTCTTAAGAAATCAGTAGTGGAATTTTTGAGGTTAAGCAATTTCTTGCGTTAGGCGCAACGCGAGCCGCAGCCCTGAAACGCACCCGCGACTCGCGCGTGCAGTAGCGCTGCGCCAAGCGAGGACAGCGCGCGAGTGGGGCGACGGCGCGGAGAGGCGGGAAAGGGCGCGGATAGACGTGAGGAGGCGCGGAAAGGCGCGATGGGGAGGCGGAAGAAGGAGAGCGCGACTCTGAGCGCCGCGTTCCACACGTGCGAGTTCGGCCTCGCTCTCGGCGTCATTGCCGCCGCGCTGTGGGCCATGATGAGGTGCGATGGTGATGGGTGCGGTGATGATGGGTGCGATGGTGATGGGTGCGGTGATGATGGGTGCGATGGTGATGGGTGCGATGGTGATGGGTGCGATGGTGATGGGTGCGATGGTGATGGGTGCGATGGTGATGGGTGCGATGGTGATGGGTGCGATGGTGATGGGTGCGATGGTGATGGGTGCGATGAGGGGATGATGAGGTGAGGGGTTGATAAGGTGAGGTGAGGCCACTCTCTTCTCACTATTCCTCCCATCTCCCCGTCCCCGCACACCAGCGAGCCCATGTTCATTGGTCTATCAGACGCCCATGCTGGTGGGGGGAGGGGTGCTGCTGCCGGCGGCACTGGTGGAGCTGCATTGGTTAGCGTGCGGCCATAGCGGCAGGCTCAAGCGTCACCACGGCTCCCTCCCCATACCCCCACCGCTATCTCCCCGTCCGCAGCACGCCAGCGAGCCTGTGTCTAACGATCTACCAGACGCCCATGCTGGTGGGGGGCGGGGTGCTGCTACTAGCGGCACTGGTGGGGCTACAGGGGTTAGCGTGCGGCCATGGCGGGCTCAAATGCCTGCACGTCTTCTTCGCTATTCTCGCTCTCCTCGCCCTCCTCGCCTTCTCCAGTAATGTCGCCTCTGCCCTCGCCCACGTCGTCTCTGCTTTCGCCTAGCTCGCTTCCCTCTCCCCAGTTCCCCAGTCTCAACTGACTCTACCTCCACTTCTGCTCTCACAACTGACTCCGTCGTCACTCTTTTGTCTCAACCTCAATTCCTTCACCCTCCTCTCCAATCCCCGTCACCCTCCTCACTCGGTTTTCCCGCTCACCCTCTGTCAGCCCGGTGCCTTTCGTAAGCCTGTGTATGCACCTGCACGGTCCAATTTCGTCACCCCATTTGTTCATCCCTCTCCCGCTGCCCAACTGATGCTTCGCCTACTCCTTGCGCTCACGTCTGCCTTCTTTCCCAACTCATCCTGCTCTCTTCCTTTCCCCCCATCCTCCCTCTCTTCCCCTCTCTCCCTTCCCTGCCTCCTTCCTCGCCCCAGTCTTTGCGTTTGTGGTGACAGCAGGAGGTGCAGCAAGCAGCAGTCGCGGCCAGACGGTTTATGAGCCAGCAGGCTTCTCCGCGTGGATGCAGCAGCAGCTGGGCTCCTGGTCCTCGTTACAAGCATGCCTCGCTAACACCGTGCACGTCTGCTCCGACCTCCGCATGTACACCCGCGACAAGCTGCAAGGGAAGCAGATCTCGCCTCTAGAGGTAAGGCAAGGCACCTTCACAGTCATGTGCTTTCAGGGTTTAAGGGATGAGTATTTTACCACGAAGGGAAATCCCCATCCACCCCACACTCTCTATGTGTCCTTTCTCCCTTGCATGATGCAACCAAACACCTTCCTCTCCTCAGCCCTTCTCCCCACCACCTCTCTCTCCTCCCCTCTCCCACCCCATGCCCACCAGGCTGGTTGCTGCCTGCCCCCTGAGGGTTGTGCAGTCAACCTCCTGCAGAACACAATCTACTCCTTCGCCTTTGCCGCCCCCACCACCTTTCTCTTCTGCTCCTTACTCCCCCATCCCACCCTGCTCCCACCAGGCTGGTTGCTGCCTACCTCCCGAGGGCTGTGCAGTGAACCTCCCTCAGAACACCATCTACTCCTTCGCCTTCGCCGTCCCCACCACCCCCACCGTCACCACGCCCGCCAACCCAACCTCGCCCTCCAACTGCAACGCCTTCAGCATCGACCCCTCAACCCTCTGCTACAGCTGCTCGCTCTGCCAGGGGGGCCTGCTAGCCCTTCTCCAGAGCAACCTCAAGGTGCAGGCATATGTGAGCATGGCCGCGGCGGGGATGCTGCTGCTGCTGGGTCTCGCCATGTGCTGCGCCGCGTGCAACGGCGCCGAGCCTGAGGGGTTGAGTGAGTCAGATGGGATTGCGCTGGCCCGCGCACCCACGTTTGTGATGGTGGATCCGACTCTCGAAAGGACTCTGTCCCGGGTGAACACAGGAGTCGGGGGAGCAGGGGGTGCGAGCTACAAGCGGACCAACACCATGGCTAGTGCTGCCGGGGGCGGGGGGGCGCGGTTTGAGCGCTCGCTGAGCCGTAAAGGGGGAGAAAAAGGCCCGCAGAATGGGCCGGGGAGTGCGAGCTTCCAGCGCAGCTTGACTTTCCAGAGCATGGCGAGCGCTGAGTACAAGCGACAGATGAGCATGGCTGGTGGGAATGGGAATGGGAATGTGGGGTATGCAGGGGGAGGAGAGGAGGAATGGGAGGTTCGGGATGTGGAGGACAGGTACGAGGATGAGGGGGGTGATAGGCGGACGTACAATCGGCAGCGGAGCAATGTGGGTGGGGAGAGAGCGTATGAGGAGGAGAGGGAGGAGGAGTATGATGAGCAGAGGAATTCGAGGCAGAGGAGTCGGGCGCGGCAGAGCAATAGGTCGGTGGGAGGGGAGGAGGACGATGACAGATTGGTTCGTAACACAACGTGGGGGTCGAGTCAGAATCCAAGAAGCACTCCTCCGGATGGAGGGGAGGCGCGAACGCCTCGCGGGGGGAGAGGAAGGGGGAGAGCGACGCGAGGGGGTTCTACGAGTCGTGGGCGGTCGGGACATCAGAGGAACACGACGTGGGGTGATGACGAAGATCCGGAGCAAGGGCGGGAACAGGTGAGGAGGGTGGAGGTAGGTGTGAGCACTCCGAAGAGGAAGCAGAAGCCGAGGAATCAAGAAGTTTACGAGGATGATGGCCAATATCAAGAAGATTACGTTGATATGTATTATTAATTTATAAAAATAATTATAGACTTTTTAAAAAACGCGTTAAGTGTTGTGAGTTTACTATGGTGGTGACTCTTTGCCTAAGCTTTTTTGTTTAAGCTTATTTTTCTTTACCCTCATACGTGGTTAATACATTATTATTCGGATGAAATCGGTGTATCTATTGAAATAAATGCCCAGCTTTGCAAAACACGGTCCCTCAAATTTGACCTGACTGTACACGTTTGTCCGTTTCCCTCTGGACCACATCTGGTCTGGACCCATTGTACACAGAGATATCGTCGTCACTTGCCGCCGAATAGCGTGTAGAAGTCACCCTCTCATTCGCGACGTTCGTCTAAACCACTCGCGATTCGTGAACCAATGCATCGGGTCATTTGCGACACCCGCATGCCCTTGGCGAGAGTCGCAACCAACTCAAATCACTTGCCGCAGCACAGCTGGCTCACTCGAACCCCCCATCACTCCCTCCTCCAGCCTCATCCCTCACCCGTTCGCCTCGCTCACCACGCTAGAAAATCGGAACGCACTAGTGGTGTGTGTGAGTCGTGCGCGACGGGTGGTTGTGCTGAAAGCTGGGGTAGGAGGGATTTCTAGTCTAGCACAACACCTCGACGGCGGCTTTACAGTGGGGTTGCGCGGGTGCGAGGGACTTGCGTTGAACAAGCGCACGGGCGATCGCGAGTTTCAGCCATTGTGGCGCTCCCGCGGCGCTCGGGTAATCGCCTCACGCTCGGCGCTCGTCGTACCGAGCGTCGCTCCTTGTAGAGCTGCATTGCGAGCACTGCGACAGAAGTTGGCGACGATGGCGAATGACAGGTGTATGTCGTCGGTGTCGCACGTGTCGATGCTTCTGATGTCGCTCGTGCTCCTCGGCACGTGCCTGTGGGCCATGCTCAGGTCAGCTACTAGTAATGTTAATCCGATGCCGCGTCGCGTCGTTCGATGCGCCATCCCGATATTGATTAACCCAATTATTGCATCCGCCATCGCCGCTTGAAAATGCGCCGCTTGAAATAATGCGCCGCAGTTCTTAATATCCTTATCACCAGCTTTTCTCATCTACCGCACCGCGTTTCTCGCACCGCACAAACTTCTGCTTTGCTACACAGCCCGACAATGACATTTTCATCCCGTTTCGTCCTTCGATGCGCGCCGATGAATCTCCCATCCACGCATTACCAGCGCCGCGTAGCTCTCGAATCAAACTAATCTTTAAAGAACTCACCGTCTCCCTCCGCGCCTGCGGGCGCCGTCGCCGCTCATCCCCGTGGCGCTGCTTGCGATCCGCCTTTTGGTGTCCCCTTCACCCGCCCTCAACCCCCCCCATCTTCCCCTTCTTCCCCTCTTCCCCTTCCCCCTCCCCCCCCCCCCACCCCCCTCTCCGCGCCCTTCCCTCCCCCTTCCGCGCGCCGCGCATCGCGCATCCGCGCTGCACGCCAGCGAGCAGCTGTCTGATAGGCTACCAGGTGCCGCTGGCGATGATTGCGTCAGCGCTGCTTGTTTTCCTTCAAACTCCCCCTTCCCTCCCCCCTCTCCGCGCCCCTCCCTCCCCCATCCGCGCGCCGCGCATCCGCGCAGCACGCCAGCGAGCAGCTGCTTGATAGGCTACCAGGTGCCGCTGGTGGTGATAGCGTCGGTGCTGCTGGTGGCGGCGGTGGTGGGGCTGGTGGGGCTCGCGTGCGACCACGGCGGGCTCGGCTGCCTGCACCTCCTGCTCGCCGTCGCCGGCCTCCTCGCGCTCATCGGCTACACCAGTACGCGCTTGCTTCTTGCACTTAATTTTCGCGCCGCCTTTAGAACCGTTAGTAGGAATACACCAACACGCGCGTAGATTATTTACGCTGCATTTTACAAACCATTAGTGAGCCGACGCCAATGCGCGCAAATAACTGCGCCGCCTTTTGAACCTGCACAAACACGCGCCAAGTGTTTACACCACCGCTAGAACCGTCGGTTCGTCGACACCAATGCGCACGTAATCACGCCGCCTTCAGGTAAAGTAAGTTAGTTGGTCTACAAACATGGGCGCCAAAAGCGAGGGTACGCATTCAGTTCTTCCGATTTTGGCGAAAAATGGGTCGGTTGACGAAATTGAAATCGCCCACGCGAAATTGAAACATCCGTGCGCAAGCACCCTCGCATTGGCAAACTGGTCGGGCAAGCGATCAACCATTGCCCAACCACGAGGGATGCGTACCCTCTTTATATCCCGCCTCTAGAGCCATTCATAAGCCATCGGTATCGTGCTAAGTCTCCCGGACCCTCCCTTCCCGTCCCCCACTCCCGCTTCCCCACCTCCCCCCTCCCTCGTCACCCTTACCCCCTCCCCCCTCTTCCTCCCCCGCGCAGTCTTTGCGTTCGTGGTGACGACGGGCGGCGCGGTGGAGAAGAGCCGCGGGCAGACGGTGTACGCGCCGGCGACCTTCTCGTCGTGGATGCAGCAGCAGGTGTGGAACGACGCCACGTGGAGCGCGCTGCAGACGTGCCTCAAGAACATCCACACGTGCAGCGACCTGCGCGACTACACGCCCGCGTACCTGCAGGGGAAGCAGCTCTCCCCGCTCGAGGTGCGTGCTTGAGGAGGGGGGGAGGCGGAGATGTGGGGGAAAGGACTGGGGAAGATGTGGGGATGGAAAGAAGGGAGGGGAAAATTGGTGAGGAGGAAAGGGGGACGAGGGGAAAAAAAGGGGGGAGGGGGAGGGGAAAGGGGCTGCTTGCAGGATGCATTGCATGCCCGATTTGGTGGGCTGCATGTGCTGTTTACTTACGCATGCAGCGGGAGCACTGCTGGAATGTCGACCTTATTCTTCCAACCCCCTCATATCCCCGCTTCTCATGCCTTGTTCTTCGTTGCCCCAATCCCATTCCTCTTTCTTGTTCCCCATTCCACGTTCCTCCAAACCCTGTCCCCCCCTGTTCCCCGTCACCCTTTTCCCCGACCCCCCATCGCGAGGCCAGGAGGGGTGCTGCATGCCACCCGAGAACAGCTTTGTGAACTCCTACCTGTCCACCTTCTTCTCCTTCGCCTTCGAGCTTCCCTCCATCGACGCCCACCCCATCGTTGACAACCCCCCCCCCCCCCCCCCCCCCCGCCGGCCGTTCCTTGTTCCTTGCCCTTCGTTGACCCCAACCCCGTCCCTGCTCCCCTTTCCCCATTCCCTATTCCCCTTTTCCCCTTCCCCCTGTTCGCCGTTCGAGCCAGGCGGGGTGCTGCATGCCTCCGGAGAACTGCTTCGTGAACTCCTCGCTGCCCACCTTCTTCTCCTTCGCCTTTGACCTGCCCACCGACAACGCCCCACCCATCACCACCAATCCCCCCGCCGCCGCCGCTCCCCCGCGCGACCCGCGCAACTGCAGCGCATTCAGCCTGGAGTCCAACCAGCTGTGCTACAGCTGCGAGTACTGCAAGGGCGGCGTGCTGCAACAGCTTAAATCGGATCTGCTTGTAGAGGCGTACTTCGGTGTGGGGATAGCGAGCACGATGGTGCTAGTGGCCATGGTCATGTGCTGCACTCAGTTCGGTAGAGGCGGGCGCAACGACGACAAGAGGAGGTTGCTGGACGACCGGGGTGTGAGCATGAGCCGCACTGCCAGCTTCCAGGGAGGGCCGCACCTCAACCGAGTGAACACATACCAGAGTCAGGGCGGGCCTCAGTTCAACCGAGTCAACACGTATCAAAGCCAGGGCACACCGGATCTCAACCGAGTCAACACCTACCAGAGCTACGGTGGGGAGGCGGATCTTCAGCGGGCAAACACGTACCAGAGTGGTAGGGATGGGTTCAGCCGCCCAATGTCGCAGCAGGGGAAGCGCCCGGTGAGTCAGCACCAGGGGTATGGGCGGATCGGCGACATGCCATCGCCGCGTGACAGCGAGTTTGGAATGGACGAACCGGATCTCTCAAGGAACAGGACCTGGAGCGCCAGTAACCCGCCTCCCGCGGAGGCCAGGACTCCACGGGGAGGAGGAGGGAGAGGGCGAGGGAGGGGTCGTGGAAGGGGGAGGGCGGGGAGAGGCGGAGGGGGGAGGACACCGGAGCCTGGGGAAGGGCATGCGCGACGGGAGACGTGGGGGTCAGAGGGAGGTGGGAATGTGGGACAAGGTGGTGGGTACATGGAAACGCCACGTGCCCAGGAGAGGCCGCAGACCTCCCCGCAGCCCATAGCACCACCGCCGCCGATAGCACCACCGCTGCCACCGCCACAGGACGACGGCGTGGAGGCACATGCGACCGTTGACATGTATGACTAACAGGTTCCATTGTGTTTTGGTGGGGCTAAGGGAGTAAACTATGGGCAATTGTGGTCAAGCACATGGGCTATGCCTCTTTTTGCTCCTGGGGGAGCGGGGACTGGGGAGCTGGGCTGGAAGAGGCTCGGGGAACTAGGAGGGGTTATGTTGCAAGAGGTGCAGGCGGCTGCGAGGATTTTTGTTGGAGTTGAGGGCCGGTCATTGGGCAATAAGCACACATGAAACCAGGTAGATTTTTAACATTTAATGCTATAATGAACTTTTGTTATGGTGTTGCCATATTGTCCACCATGAAACCATTTTCGAGGTGCAATTTGCTCAGCAGCGAATCTCGTTCGTCATTCCTGGGTCAGAGGCTTCCCCATCCCCACAATTATTGAAGTATGCTCTTTTATCGCACGAGACGAAATCCAACGAAGTTTTTGTCGCACATCAGCTCACTGACGACACGTCTGAGAAGTCGTCTGCCCGGTTACCGCACTACACAAATAATTGCGAGTGCCCCTCGGATGCATCTCGCAGCGCGCAAGAATCAAGGATTGACATTTCTTACCGCAAGGCTACCCACCCCTCTGCTGCTCTCATCACCTCGCAGGCATCTCGCCCCGATGGTACTTGCCGTGTCGTCGGTGCCTTTAGTCGGCCTTCCTCGCACCGCCCTTGCCACGGAACCTGTCGGGTGCGCAGATATTCTTCCCCCGTGCTTAGTATTTAGAAGAACGATACCGAGTTCTCGGATTTCGTAGTGCGACTATCTAGCTGAAGGGTTAATCTTGTACACCCGACCTCCCTTGCTGCACTGGATAGCTCTGAGCTCATCTTTGATCGCCTGACACGCTCCAGTCCCCAGGTGTATTTTCGGACATAGTTTCCTTCTTGAAGTGATTTATTTTAATTGGAAATAGCCCCCAAGTTTTAACCACTCCAGTTTCTGGGCCTTACCACTAATCTCATGGGTGTCGCGAAGACGCTGACGGCGATAACGACGGCGCTAGTCGTGTTGTTGTCCATAGTCCTCATCGGTACAGGGATATGGATGACCACCAAGTAAGCTTGCATAGAACGAGGAAGCCTGTAAGGCTATGAAGCATGAATATCGAATTATGTCCGTTCGTACAATATCTGGAATTCTTCGAGTCAAGAACCTGTTGTCGCAGACTGTTCAAACGTTCACCCTTTCCTTTCGCCTCTTCCTCCCGTCGAGTCGCAGAGCCGGCGCGACGGAGTGCGTGCAGTTCCTTCGAATCCCGCTGATCGTCGTCGGAAGCGTGCTGTGCGCCGTGGCTCTCGCCGGGTTCATCGGCGCCGTCAACGACATCGCATGGCTGCTCTTCATCTACCTCGCTGTAGTCTTCATCGCTATATGGGTGCTCCTCGGAATCACAGGTACGACTGTACAGCTCGAAGTCCTGCGTACTTTTCTGTCACGCCTTCGCCTTTTCTAGGCCTAACTCGCGAGCTCCGCTGCGCTCAAATCCAATCCAATTCGTAGACGAGAGCCGCGTCACAAACCGTTCTCCTCACGTTCCCTCAACCCCCCTCACCCGGCAGTGTTCGCGTTCATCGTGACGAATCAGGCGGTGGCGGACGCGGTATCGAACAAGGGCGTAGGGTCGTGGAAGACGACGGACTTCTCCACTTGGCTGCAGAACCAGGTCACGGAGCAGTCCAAGTGGGCGCCCATCCAGGCGTGCCTCGCGGCCGGCAACACGTGCGGCGTACTCAGCCAGACCAACACGTCCGCGTCCCCCTCGCTCTCTGATATTCAGGTGCCACAGCCCGATCACATTCACGTGCCTGCACAACCCGCAACACGTCCGCGTCCCCCTCGCTCTCTGATATTCAGGTGCCACAGCCCGATCACATTCACGTGCCTGCACAACCCGCTCACATTCATCTCACTACCATCGCTTTCGCTGGTTCAGAAATAGTCAACTTGTGTCTCAGAACCTAGAGCCACAAGGCAAGGTCTCTTATGCTGATAATAATTCCCCGTTCAAACTTCCACCCGCCCCCCCACCCGCCCTTTCCCCAGGCCGGTTGCTGCTATCCCCCCCAGTCCTGCCCCTCGGCGCCCCTCTCCGCCAGCTCGCGCGCAGCCGTCCCCGCCAACACTTCTGATGCCGCCGCAGCCGCAGCCGCCGCGCTCGCGTCCGCAGTCAACTCGACGATTGCAACCGGCCGCGTCACGGGCGACTGCCTGGTGTACGGCAGCGAGCCGACGAAGCTGTGCTACGGGTGCGAGACGTGCAAGGCGGCCTTTCTCAAGACGCTGCGCGACCAGTGGCGCATGGTGGCGTTTGTGTGCCTGGGCGTGTCGCTGCTGCTGCTTGTTGTGTACATTGTTGGGTGCTGTGCGTACCGCAGCGCCAAGAGACGGGAAGGGTTCTTTGGGAAGGTGTAAGTTAGGGACGGTGAAAGGTAGTAGCTGTACTGCACTGTGTGGTGTGGTTTGGTGCGTTGCAGCGTGGTGGTGCCAGGGGAGAGGTGTGGGTGGAGGAGGGATCAAGCAGCACTGGGAAGAAGGGATAGCGTTTCAATAGAGTCCAAATAATGAGTGTAGGCTTAGCAGCCTGAGAAGGGTGAGCGGCCCTTCTGACAGAGGCACTCCCTTAGTGCCTACAATAAAAAGCCCTCGTCAAATAACTTAAGTCATAATAAATTCAATGTACTAAGGTTATCCCATGTTCAAATACACCTACTAGAGCCTTTTCGGCCTGGTTCTTGGGCAAAAAAAAGTTCGGCGCCGACGATTTCGGCTGTTTTTGCTGCCAAATGCTTAAAAAGCCCATGAATGCATATAGGCGTATGGAAAACTATACAACAACCTGAATGTTAATGCATATTCGTGTGGCTCATGTTTAATTACATATACTAGGGCATTTTCGGCCTTAATCTTGCGCAAAGATAAGTTCGGCGTCGACGATTTCGACTGTTTTTGCCGCCAAATGCTTAGAAAGCGCATGAATCCCTATAAATGTATGGAAAAAAATTTCAAGAACCTGAATGTTAATGCATTTTCACGTGGCGCATGTTCAATTACATCTACTGGAGCATTTTCGACCTGGATCTTGTGAAAAAAAAAAGTTCAGCGCCGACGATTTTCTAGTGGCCCATGTTCAATTACATCTACTAGAGCATTTTCGGCCTGGATCTTGCGCGAAGAAAAGTTCGGCGCCGACGATTTCGGCTGTTTTTGCCGCCAAATGCCTAGAAAGCGCATGAATGCCTATAGGTGTATGGAAAATCATTCAAGAACCTGAATGTTAATGGTTATTCGAGTGGCCCATGTTCAATTACATCTACTAGAGCATTTTCGGCCTGGTTCTTGCGCGAAGAAAAGTTCGACGCCGACGATTTCTGATGTTATTGCGGCCAAATGCCCAGAAAGCGCATGAATCCCTTTAGGTGTATGGGAAATCATTCAACAACCTGAATGTTAATGCATATTCGAGTGGCCCATGTTCAATTACATCTACTAGAGCATTTTCGGCCTGGATCTTGCGCGAAGAAAAGTTCGGCGCCGACGATTTCGGCTGTTTTTTGCGGCCAAATGCCCAGAAAGAGCATGAATGCCTATAGGTGTATGGAAAATCATTCAAGAACCTGAATGTTAATGGTTATTCGAGTGGCCCATGTTCAATTACATCTACAGGCGCATTTTTGGCCTTGATCTTGCGCGAAGAAAAGTTCGGCGCCGACGATTTCGGCTGTTTTTGCCGCCAAATGCCTAGAAAGCGCATGAATGCCTATAGGTGTATGGAAAATCATTCAAGAACCTGAATGTTAATGGTTATTCGAGTGGCCCATGTTCAATTACATCTACTAGAGCATTTTCGGCCTGGATCTTGCGCGAAGAAAAGTTCGGCGCCGACGATTTCGGCTGTTTTTGCCGCCAAATGCCTAGAAAGCGCATGAATCCCTCAAGGTGTATGGAAAATCATTCAAGAACCTGAATGTTAATGGTTATTCGAGTGGCCCATGTTCAATTACATCTACTAGAGCATTTTCGGCCTGGATCTTGCGCGAAGAAAAGTTCGGCGCCGACGATTTCGGCTGCTTTTGCCGCCAAATACATAAAAAGCGTGTGAATCCCTATAGGTGTATGGAAAATCATTCAAGAACCTGAATGTTAATGGTTATTCGAGTGGCCCATGTTCAATTACATCTACTAGAGCATTTTCGGCCTGGATCTTGCGCGAAGAAAAGTTCGGCGCCGACGATTTCGGCTGTTTTTGCCGCCAAATGCCTAGAAAGCGCATGAATGCCTATAGGTGTATGGAAAATCATTCAAGAACCTGAATGTTAATGGTTATTCGAGTGGCCCATGTTCAATTACATCTACTAGAGCATTTTCGGCCTGGATCTTGCGCGAAGAAAAGTTCGGCGCCGACGATTTCGGATGTTTTTGCCGCCAAATGCCCAAAAAGCGCATGAATCCCTGTAGTTGTATGAAAAATGATTCAAGAACCTAAATGTAAATGGTTATTCGAGTGGCCCATGTTCAATTACATGTACTAGAGCATTTTTGGCCTGGATCTTGTGCGAAGAAAAGTTCGGCGCTGACGAGCTCGGCTGTTTTTTCTGCCAAATGCCTAGAAAGCGCATGAATGCCTATAGGTGTATGGAAAATCATTCAAGAACCTGAATGTTAATCGTTATTTGAGTGGACTATGTTCAATTACATCTACTAGAGCATTTTCAGCCTGGATCTTGTGCGAAGAAAAGTTGGGCGCCGACGATTTCAGATGTTTTTGCCGCCAAATGCCCAAAAAGCGCATGAATGCCTATAGGTGTATGGAAAATCATTCAAGAACCTGAATGTTAATGGTTATTCGAGTGGCCCATGTTCAATTACATCTACTAGAGCATTTTCGGCCTGGATCTTGCGCGAAGAAAAGTTCGGCGCCGACGATTTCGGCTGTTTTTTCTGCCAAATGCCTAGAAAGCGCATGAATGCCTATAGGTGTATGGAAAATCATTCAAGAACCTGAATGTTAATGGTTATTCGAGTGGCCTATGTTCAATTACATCTGCTCGAGCATTTTCGGCCTGGATCTTGCGCGAAGAAAAGTTCGGCGCCGACGATTTCGGCTGTTTTTGCCGCCAAATGCCCAGAAAGCGCATGAATCATTATAGGTGTATGGAAAATCATTCAAGAACCTGAATGTTAATGGTTATTCGAGTGGCCCATGTTCAACTACATCTACAAGAGCATTTTTGGCCTTGATCTTGCGCGAAGAAAAGTTCGGCGCCGACGATTTCGGCTGTTTTTGCCGCCAAATGCCTAGAAAGCGCATGAATGCCTATAGGTGTATGGAAAATCATTCAAGAACCTGAATGTTAATGGTTATTCGAGTGGCCCATGTTCAATTACATCTACTAGAGCATTTTCGGCCTGGATCTTGCGCGAAGAAAAGTTCGGCGCCGACGATTTCGACTGTTTTTGCCGCCAAATGCCCAGAAAGGGCATGAATGCCTATAGGTGTATGGAAAATCATTCAAGAACCTGAATGTTAATGGTTATTCGAGTGGCCCATGTTCAATTACATCTACTAGAGCATTTTCGGCCTGGATCTTGCGCGAAGAAAAGTTCGGCGCCGACGATTTCGGCTGTTTTTTCTGCCAAATGCCTAGAAACGGCATGAATGCCTATAGGTGTATGGAAAATCATTCAAGAACCTGAATGTTAATGGTTATTCGAGTGGCCCATGTTCAATTACATCTACTAGAGCATTTTCGGCCTGGATCTTGCGCGAAGAAAAGTTCGGCGCCGACGATTTCGGCTGTTTTTGCCGCCAAATGCCTAGAAAGCGCATGAATGCCTATAGGTGTATGGAAAATCATTCAAGAACCTGAATGTTAATGGTTATTCGAGTGGCCCATGTTCAATTACATCTACTAGAGCATTTTCGGCCTGGATCTTGCGCGAAGAAAAGTTCGGCGCCGACGATTTCGGCTGTTTTTGCCGCCAAATGCCTAGAAAGCGCATGAATGCCTATAGGTGTATGGAAAATCATTCAAGAACCTGAATGTTAATGGCTATTGGAGTGGCCCATGTTCAATTACATCTACTAGAGCATTTTCGGCCTGGATCTTGCGCGAAGAAAAGTTCGGCGCCGACGATTTCAGCTGTTTTTTCTGCCAAATGCCCAGAAAGAGCATGAATGCCTATAGGTGTATGGAAAATCATTCAAGAACCTGAATGTTAATGGTTATTCGAGTGGCCCATGTTCAATTACATCTACAAGGGCATTTTTGGCCTTGATCTTGCGCGAAGAAAAGTTCGGCGCCGACGATTTCGGCTGTTTTTGCCGCCAAATGCCTAGAAAGCGCATGAATGCCTATAGGTGTATGGAAAATCATTCAAGAACCTGAATGTTAATGGTTATTCGAGTGGCCCATGTTCAATTACATCTACTAGAGCATTTTCGGCCTGGATCTTGCGCGAAGAAAAGTTCGGCGCCGACGATTTCGGCTGTTTTTGCCGCCAAATGCCTAGAAAGCGCATGAATCCCTCAAGGTGTATGGAAAATCATTCAAGAACCTGAATGTTAATGGTTATTCGAGTGGCCCATGTTCAATTACATCTACTAGAGCATTTTCGGCCTGGATCTTGCGCGAAGAAAAGTTCGGCGCCGACGATTTCGGCTGCTTTTGCCGCCAAATACATAAAAAGCGTGTGAATCCCTATAGGTGTATGGAAAATCATTCAAGAACCTGAATGTTAATGGTTATTCGAGTGGCCCATGTTCAATTACATCTACTAGAGCATTTTCGGCCTGGATCTTGCGCGAAGAAAAGTTCGGCGCCGACGATTTCGGCTGTTTTTGCCGCCAAATGCCTAGAAAGCGCATGAATGCCTATAGGTGTATGGAAAATCATTCAAGAACCTGAATGTTAATGGTTATTCGAGTGGCCCATGTTCAATTACATCTACTAGAGCATTTTCGGCCTGGATCTTGCGCGAAGAAAAGTTCGACGTCGACGATTTCGGGTTTTTTCCGCCAAATGCCTAGAAAGCGCATGAATGCCTATAGGTGTATGGAAAATCATTCAAGAACCTGAATGTTAATGGTTATTCGAGTGGCCCATGTTCAATTACATCTACTAGAGCATTTTCGGCCTGGATCTTGCGCGAAGAAAAGTTCGGCGCCGACGATTTCGGATGTTTTTGCCGCCAAATGCCCAAAAAGCGCATGAATCCCTGTAGTTGTATGGAAAATCATTCAAGAACCTGAATGTTAATGGTTATTCGAGTGGCCCATGTTCAATTACATCTACTAGAGCATTTTCGGCCTGGATCTTGCGCGAAGAAAAGTTCGGCGCCGACGAGTTCGGCTGTTTTTTCTGCCAAATGCCTAGAAAGCGCATGAATGCCTATAGGTGTATGGAAAATCATTC